CCCAGGAGTTTAAGTTAAGTGGCGGCAAAATAATTAAGGCTACACTTCTGAGTCGCGAGTCTCTGAAATCAGTGACTCACGGCAACTCAACTCGAGTCGGAGTCTGACTCACGAGTCTCTTGATTGGCATAGTTTGCCAATCAAGGGGATTATTGCTATCCTCAATGCAATGTATGCACACTAAGAGCTGTGCATCCATTGTAGTACACACAATTCGCCAATAGATGTCGCTTTGTACATCAGCTAGACAACTGTCTTTATCCTTTCTTGTGTCTTTAGGTCAACTACAACTCATTTCAAGTAATGGAGAATAAATATGTAGCCAGTTTATTCATGCAGAAACTTGCATAACAGCCCCCATGGTAGAAGGTGCAAAGTTTTTCTCCACTTCCTCAAAAGTCACCACCTCACTCTAAATGTGAGAAAGCGGAAACTGTACAAGATCATTTTTTTGCAAACCACTTTACTTTCTATTTTGGTTCACCTATAAGTAAAAGGACATCTTCTTCTCAGTCTGAAAGAACACATTGTGCAGAAGCACAAGGCACATCGGCACATGTTTGTTGTTGCATGGTGTGATGTACCTTTCAATTATAAAGATGAACTATATCCATAATGTTACCCAATGTATTTATAAACCAGATATAAAAGACTTTTACTCACAAACAAGATCTCACATTCCATTTTAAGCACAATTATAAACATAGGTAAACAGAGATTTTTTTTCATAATGGTGTAAAACCAAGGGTTTTGACCAAAATCCCTGGCAAAAAAATAATAATAACATTCTTATTAGATTATTGTAACTATAGATTTAGAATGAAACAATGTCATCAGGTGTTTGTGTAAACATTTGTCAACTCTGAGGAGAAGAAAGATGAAGTTGAATCTTTATTAACTCACCAGAAAGACAAAAAGCAACCATTGTATTTGACTATACAGTTCCAGTTGTATTGCAGTTCACTTTGTGTGGTTAGACTGTTTCAAACCACCCAATGTGGTTTGAAAAGGAAAGGGTCAGCAGCAGTCAACCTCACATTTCCCACCCACAGCAGCAGATACTGTATTGCATGTTTCAGGTGTGCATCAGCCGCATGGGCAGCTTACAGTGGCATGTTGGTGTGCCTTGAGATATTGTTTGGTGTGCCTTTGGAAATGATCCAAAATCATCTTGTTGAATAAAATTATACTTTTTCTTTGTGCTTACTTGCTTAACTATGCAATAAACTTTAATGAGAATTACTCCTCATTGTTCATAAAGGCTTGAGTTTCATTTTTGCTTCTTGCTTCCCGAGCAGCTGCGTTCGCAGTGGGACGTGACCCGCTCATCTCTCTACGCAGTGATCGGTCTTCTCTTCTGAGTGGAGATCATACGTGCACGTGTTAACCTAGTGAGGTGCCAAATTCTACAAGAAACAAGCTATTGCTTACCTTCTAAAAGTATTGCTTCCTGAAAAGTGATCAGTAAATCCATGTAGCCAGTGTCAAGAAAAGCGTTATTGGTTTTCTCTGTACGTCATAAAATGTGGGTGACGAGAGCAAGTACTGTATGCCAAGGTTTCCACCAGAATTTTTTTATGAGGACTATAGCAAGAGCCATTGCATTTGGTTCTGAACTTGCTTATGGTCCAATGGTTAAGAATGGAAAGCCACAGTTTGGCAGCCCATGTTTGATTCCCAATCAAGGTGTGAATATTTTTAAAAACATTACATTTGTGTCCCCACCAAAGCTGAAACCAAACCTGAGACCGGACCTGAGAATCAGCATTTTCTATTACTCTCTCAAGTTAAGTTAAGCTTTATTGTACATGACCGGGATTTGAACCCAGAACCTTTTTGCCTGCACATAATAAAACCAATGAGAACAGAAAATTGTAAAAGGGAATTGAAGCTATAGCATTTTGAGGAAACTGCGTAGAGAGCCGAGCCACAGTGGAGTCAGTCCTTATTGTTGGATGCTTAGAATAGAAACAAATCAATCCTCATACAAATCTGACCAAACTAAATGTGCGCGATCTCGGCCAGAGCAGGAAGGGGCCGTGAGATAAGAGGACAAGCCCTGGAGCTGAGCCACTATCATCTATTGGCCTACAGACAATTACAGTGAACTGTGGTGAGACTCTAACTCACTGTGACAGCTTTAACACAACCATCCATTATGTAACGTTACACCGGAGACCTCAGGTACTTTGTTCTACCAATAAACCATTTGTTTTGTTCGCTTACTGACTTGGAAGTACTCAAATGATGCAGATGATTAAAAATAAACAAGATATTTTAGGCTAAACTTATGCCACTCTTATTTTAGGTTTTATTTTGGTTGTTCCCTTTTTCCACTAAAATAAATAAGTTTTACGGAAAAGACATATTACCGGTAGTCATGTTTTGAAAAGACTAAACCCTTTGCTGCATGACATTATTCTTATTGAATCCTGTTTGTTCCATTATTTGTATTTCCTGATGGATTAACTGGAAGTCTGCTTTTTGAAACACAAAAAGCATACAACGTTACATTATTGTCTAATTGTAAACTCAGGTGCCACTTTCCCAGTAACCCTTAAATATGCCAAGATGCTAGTTTTAGCAAATATTTTCGGAAAGATGTGCAGCTTTGATTATTACAATTTAATACCAGTTCCAAACACTGCAATATTCAGTATTACTTTTTCCTTGAAGCCTTGATTAGAAAAAAATTTTACTTTTCCAGCAATTATACAGCTGTGCTTGGACTTTTACACACACAGGCAGGAATTTGGAATTCTTTTGGCCATTATACTGAGATTAAAAATGATAACGCCAAAAACTTGTTTTTCACTTATCGTTAGTGGTTGTGTGAATAATTAGTTTTCTCATTTAGAATTAGAACGACAACAGAAACTGACCCTAAATAAATTCCCCAGTTCTCAAAAGATAAGACTCTCTGATGGTAAAGCTGCTCAGACAAAAAGCCTTCAGTTGTTGTAAATTCCTGGGCAATCATGTATAAACTGCAAATTTGAGATCACCAGAGAACGCTTCAATTATGTTAAAATTTAAGAATAATAAAGATGTTCATTGGACAAAAAAAAACACTAAATATCAGTGTGTTTATGTGATCAGTCATAATCTTTTTCATCAAATCCATGACATTTATCCATCTACTGAAATAGCTGCTAGAAGTTTTCTTTAGATTATAAAACACAGACAACTGTTTCTCCGTCTCCATTTCTGCGCACACACAGAACCCTGCTCATTGTGTTGGGACCTTCGGTGGGAAGTGTTCAGACCGCGCAATGACCTTGGAACGCCAAAAGCTGCAGAGAAATTTACTATGTTGATACGGTCCCAATGCCAGGACCCACCTCAATGTCCACTGTGATATAACTAATACAAGCCTGCCAAGCTAAACACCACATTTTGTTATATTTTTTAATTTCTCTAAAGCACACATTACTTACGATTGTTGATAAAAGAGTACATGGGCTGCTGATGGAGATAATGCAGTGGGAAATTTCACAGGACCACTATCTAAATTAAGCTTACCATTGTTGTATTGTGAAGGATGAGGGGACATTCGTAAATATGTCATCATCATAGTTAGTTAGAAAAAAAACTATTGCACTGTGTCATTCATCCTAAACAATGGATTCAAACACCTCTTGACCTCTTTCCCAAACCTCTAGATAAAACATATTACTGAATAAAGGGAGAATGGCGAACCAGCTGAATATGAAGATGAAGAGGTTTACACTTTTATGAGTGGTTTTGCAATCTGATAGATATGTTTTTTAAATATCTCATATAAAAGTCAAGAAAAAGGTCGCCAGTGATGAAGCTGTTATAAAAGTCCAGCTCATGGTGAATCCTTCTCTATCACTTGCTTCCTTAAATCTGGGGAAGTTAACTTGCAAAATAGGCTGTGTTTATCTTACGAGGCAACATGCTATATTTTCCACGCTTGTAAGTTGGATTATTGTTGATAATTGATTAGTTTGCGATTATTTCTTTGATTAATTTCTTTGTTGTTAGGATCCCGAAAGGTCAGTGAATATGGGGTCTTTTAGTTTATTTATACAGTGATTTTTACAGACCAAGGTCATCCAAAGCGCTTTGCAATGTTCAGAAATCAGATATTTTTCCATTCACACAAGGTGATGACGGAAGCGAGACGCCGAATACATTGCCGTATCAAAGCTCCCAACAAACGCTATCCATAAATCAATCAATCACTCATTACATTCAGATCTATTGTACATGTTTTTAGTGGTAGGAGAAACTGGAGCACATGGAGGAAACCTACGCAGGCACAGGGAGAACATGTAAGCTTCGACTGGGATTCGAACCCAGGACTTTCTTACTCAACCGCCATGCCACCATGTTTTATATTGGTAAATTCACATGCATCGCTGTTATGACCAAAACAAAACTCAAGGGTATATCCCCGGAGAATATCTTAGAGAGGACTTGTTACACATTGGGTTTGATTAAAAATACTTTATAGTCACATTTTAATTTCTTTCTGTGGTCATTAAGAGTTATAAAACCTCCTCTCAGCATGTTTAAATCTATGGTTAAAAAAAACAAGCCATTACTAATTTTGTTGACAACTAATTCACAAATTGAGTATATTGTGAGAAATAAATCAACTTGTTTCAGCCAACCCTGTGAGTCACTATTTGATTTTTTTGGTCTGACAGTTTTCTTTTTCACTTTTGCTTGTATTGTATTACATAGTTCATTAATTCATGGTTTGAAAGTTAAGCTCCACAGCTTTATACGAGCTATACGAGTGAGAGTGAAGGAGGTGGGATCCTGTGACCAGAGAAGCCCCTCCCAAAGTCAGAAACCCCAGAGCGACATGTGGCTTGGAACTTTTCACAAGAGCTGACTCAAACACACCCACTGCTCTGATGCACTAAAGGACGTTCATCAGGAAACAAATGAGGAACGAAGAAAAGCAGAGAGAGATTGGTGTTTTGTTTGATGTGGCTGTGAGGACTTCAGCCTGAGCTCGCGTCACGATGGAGCACACACACAGCCTCCTCACTCTGGGTAAGGCTATTTCTATCTATCTGGAATTTATTTAACTGCTGAATAATTAATAGTAAGCAGAATCATTTGTAAGGTGCTTTGTGACCTTATGAAAAGTGCTGTGTGCTTATAGATACGCAAATAAAGATGACTTACTTATTTACTTAAAAGAAAGCCATGGTTGTTTGAGTTTAAAGTTGAGTTTTGAAGTAGTAAAAAGTGGTGGAAGCAGGTTTTTCCCCCAATATCTTTGCATACTAGCTTGTCTCACTTTCCGTATACTGTCATATATTAGTTTCACATTGTAAGTTGAATTGCAGAAGCAGATGGACGATATTCTGATTTTCTGAGTTTCACTTGTATAACTAAATGAAAAAAAATCACGTAAGCCAAGGGAACATTCTTATACCAAGTACACTGTACCTTTATATGTGTTTTCTTGTTTATTATGGGTACATATGGATCACATTGGCTGAAAACAACTATCATCATGGTAGCTTTCAATAAAAGAGACAAAAGTTAGATACACTGATTTACAAACAAGAATAGTTTAACTTTTAGTCCATTCAGAAATGAACCACAGAGAAAAAGCCAAAAGTCTTTAGTTCATGAAAGTTATTATTAGTGTGTGGTTTGTGAGAAACGTCTTGAGGTGGCACAGCGGTTTTTGATCTTCACAGCAAGAAGGTCCAAGGTTTCGATCCCACCTCCAGTCAAAGCCTTTCTGTGTGGGGTTTGCATGTTCTCCCTGTGTCTGTGGTTTCTCGGTTTCACCGCTTAAAAAAACAAGTAGGATATATAGCGACTTTTCTCTCATCTCTGAGTGAGAAGTCAAATTCCCACAATGATCGTAAAGCACTTTGTCACTTTGTCTGTGAAAGACGGCCTATAAATTAGCTGGTCCAATGCATCTTTCCCTTTGAGGTTAATGTTTATTGTACACTGTCCCTATTATTTTAAAGAAAAACAATTTTTAAGTCAAGATATTCCATGTTCGTTCTGTTGACAACTACTATTATAAATATGCCAAAACAAAGATCAATTCTACTAAATCTAAGCATGTATTGTTTTATCTCCATGCTTGCAGTACGCATTTCTGTAACTGAAGCTTCTAAACCAGCTGTTAAAAGTACATTGTTCACAAAGCAGCCGCCAAACAGAGGTCTACTGTTGTGATATTTATATCCAATGAACTCATCCCAAGCAGACCTCCTGATGCAGTGAGCGGGGTGTTTCCAATGATTAGGCCAGAATTGTAACGCGCCTGCATGTGGAAACTATTGAGAAAAGCTGGAAACTTAATATAAGGAACAAAACGTGCACTCAGAGGTTAAGAGAAATCTATTTCGTATAACTCTCCCTGATGTGTTGAATATGGAAGCACCTTTATATTGGTCTGTTCAAAGTCATGACTATAACAGTAACAGTAAAGTGGAAGAAATAATCGTTTCTCTGTTCTGTAGTAAAAAGAGCCTGTACTTTTGACATTAATTCATATTACATACTTGGAAACTCTGAGAATTAGACACGGTTTTCCTCTTTGATTCAACTCACAATGTGAAACTAATAATGATAGACTTTATACAATATGCAAAGTGATATTACAGCAAGCCTGTCAAGCCTAGATTTCAGAATTTCACCTGTACGCCAAGACTTGTTTCTTTAATATAATCGGGTATCTAGTTTTGCCGTGGTGTGTTCCAGCTTACGTATCTCTGTTGTGGGAAGAGCCAACTTGGTGTGAAAAGTTTGAAAGTCGTTTTTGCTGTATATATTTCATTAAATGTTTTTCACCCTGGAATTTCTGCTCTCGACATTTCTGCTTCTTTTATGCTTGTTAAGGTATATTTGGGTCAGTGCAGAAGTCTGACTCTGCATTTGGCTGTGGAGGATGTAATAATGCTATGTTTCCTGACACATAGGAAGCCACGGCTGCAAACTCCAATGTCTAATTCGTTTTGGCACAGTGACTGGTAACAATGTGAGGAAAGAGAAGACCATTATGAGGGCATTAACTTTCTGCTATAGACGTGTTAACCAGTGGAAACTTAGCCTCAATAGCTGCGGGAAAGACATTCAAATTAGGACTGTTGTTCATTTGGACTTAACCAGGAAGAAATAATTACCTATAGATACTGCAAAGTATTTGAAGTCGTATTAAAGTGATGAAATTATTAATGAATTACACATTTTAGGAAATGTTTCAAATTGACCTCCTGGCCTTAAATGTTATAATAACATTTAAGGCTCCGTGAAATCAAACAATATGGAGCCTCCGAATCAAGCCTCCATTAGGCTCTGGAACTACATGAAAACTGAACAAAGAATTCTGAACATCCGCACTGAGTTACCCATTTATATACTGAACCTATATCCATAATCAGATCCTCTGCAGATGTGTCCTATAATGTGCAATTCATGATAATAGCTTGTTCAGGGTTTGCTGCAATCGCTTTTTTTGTGCATTAAAACATTATTTTTTTCATTAAAACGTAAACAAATAATTCTGAAAACCTCCGTGCATGTGTATTAATAATGTATATGTATAATGTGTTCTCTGATAAACATTTAAAAGTGTTACGGAAACTTAAGTGTAGACCAATCAGAAAGGAAGGGGGAGGGAGCTTGCGTCGTTTTTTTCAAAACAAGCACCTATCTGTCTCTCCTTCTGACAAACTCCAGACAATCACTTTAAATATTGATTTCACAACTATTTGGCAAGATATCTCTCACTTTATACCACTTCACTTGAAATAACACGAGGCTTGTTTGTTCCAAGGGCAAATTTTATCTCTTAACAATAAATCAAGTACTGCTTAAAGCTGGAGGATATTTTGTGTTTCATAAATAATACATTTTGTTTGCTCAAAAAGAAACATGCTGTATTCATTTTAGAAAACGTTATATAAATATAAAGTTATTTTTGTGAGTCACTAATTGTAAGCGCTTTGGGTGACCTTGGTCTGTGAAAATGCGCTATATAATTAAACATTACTCACTTACTTACTTACTTACTAATTGGGTGAATATCTGATGCGGCTTAGGATGGTCCTCTTTTTATCACTTTTCTGTCAGAAAAAACTGTGCTAAAGATGTGACATATGCCAAAAATACATGGTAGCCCTTTTTTTTCCTAAAACGCTAAATTTTTTGACATCTTAACTTCAAATGGCTATAACTAAAATGTGATAAGAGATAGAGGCTTTCTATAAATTAGAAAAATACTAAGGATGGCCCAAAGTTTGTGTAGGGATTAAATTGACCCATCTAATTTGCATATAATAACATCATACAGCGGTGGCAATCATGGATTATTCTAGGACATGAACACACAAACAGAACTCACAGACAAATTGTAAAAAAGTGCAAATCATTACTGCCCCATATAGAACAAATAGATAGAACAAACTGTTGTTAGAGCAAGGAGTTAACTCTTATAGCATAATTTTTTGATTTTTGTGTGCTTTGAAAGTTGGGTAATAATGACCTAATGATGTGATGTTTGTAAAGGAATTAATTTCAGCTAAATAAATGGAGTTCTTGTAATTTGCTTATGTCAACTTTTCAAATTGTGATTTTGATTTGGCTGCACTATACCAACTTGTATAATCATTTCAGCGCTATTGTTCATCTGCCTCACGGTGGCGGAACTGAAACCCTGCAAGGAAGGATTTCAAAATGAAAGGGGTGAATGTAAAGGTAGGTACATTATTATCACATGGATGAACAGTCATTAGGTTGAGAAGTTAATATGAAATAATTTCTTTCAATTCGAATTTTAGACGTTAACGAGTGCGAAGACGACCCTGGACCTTGTGGCCCAAATGCAGACTGTAAGAACACTGTGGGACACTTCTACTGCGAGTGCCAAGAAGGATACAGGACGTCAACAGGAGGAACCATCTTCAACGCCTCGTCCTCTGAGACCTGCTTAGGTAATATGAGCTTTTTACTTCCCAATCAGATGCAGTGGTAGAATGAAAAAAAATATATATAATAATAATAATGTAAACGCAATCTGATTTGTTCCTGGCTCAAAATGCACCCCTTGCAATCCTTTTGTCTTCCACTCCTGGTGCCAAAAACTGGCCCTGGTTTGGCCCGAGTTCAGACCAGGACCAGAAATGGCAATGGCAGTTCTTGAGAAATACTGATTGTATTTAATCTATAGCACATTTCAAAAGTAAGTCATTGAGAAGGTAAAATAAAGTGGGTCTTAACTGAAATACAGTCAAAACAGTTCATTGAGAAGATAAAGAATGCTGCTTCTAAACAGTGTGTTGCTATAGTAACGGGAACTGGTTCAGCTCTGGTGGGAAAAACAAACTATAACGGCTCAGACCCAGCACCAGCCCAAAACCGGGTCAGAACCAGCACACTGGTGGAGAAGGGGATACAAAACAATTTGGTTCTATCACTAGTTTCCACATGCATGTATTTTGGGCCCGTCTCACATCTTTAAATCAACTTTTCAGACAGGAAAGAGAGAGGCTAGCAAGAGAGTAAGCTTTCCATCTCAGAAAAAAGAGAGTAGTTTTACCTGGCTAAGTTACGGGCCATATCTGCGGAGAGGAGAGTTGATCCAAAGTAGGAATTCAGATTATACTTTTGAGCCGTAAGACAAGTTTAATTGATACTAAGGAACATTCCAAGCAAAGAACTAGCGCCGCCGATCGAAAAAGTTAAAAAATCTATACGTATAAACTGTATGTACTTACTTCAAACTAGAGTATATGAACTTTCTACTTTACTGCATTTCTTAACTAGACTGAGAAGTAAAATAACATCCTTACACATTCAATGTAAGGAGTGGTTATTCTTGCATAAGTTAGTTCTTCCAATTAAGAACATCCGAAACATGCAAAAATAATCCAACAGAAAAAAAATATTCTCTTTTTTTGCTGAACAATCATCAGCACAATCCCTTCACTGTATTTGACAGTTTATGTGGTACTAACTTTTTTTAACTCATTGAGTACTTCAAAACTTTTACTGTTTCTTTCCCCTGCATCTGCACTTTTAACAAAATCAATAATTTTTTCCACCTCTGCCGGATTCAAAAAAAAACCCTCTCTTTATTTGAAGATATCAATGAGTGCATGGAGGACAAAAACATCTGTGGCCCACATGCTCAATGCCAGAACACAGCACCAGATTACCTCTGCCTCTGTGAGAACGGATACGCCGACTTATCCAGTGGGAAAAAAAAGTTTTATAAGGAGGACAATGTTTCATGCAGCGGTAAAGCGGCCATCACTCAAGCCAAGATTAAGATTATTAGGATGGACAGTATAACGTAATAAATGATGATTGTTTTCTTCTGCACAGACATTGACGAATGCGATGAGAAGGACATCTGTGGGAATAATGCGACATGTCAAAACTCAGTAGGAAGTTTTTCCTGTGTCTGTGAGGAAGGATTTGTACAGAGCCTTTCTGGACACAAGCAATGTGAAGGTAAAATGATGATAATAATACTTTTCAAATATTCATCTAATTTGACGGAAATAAATGTATGGATTTAGCACATTTAGTGGATAGAAAACAAGATGGGGCTATAGACTTAAGTAGATCAGTATCAAACTTGCTGAAACTACAAAGAAGGGGAGAATATATTTATTTGATAATGATATATTCAGTGTTTTTGCAGAATATATATCTAAAAGGAGGATGTTTGAGCTCATAGTATCCATTTTGGAACGATTCTTCTAAACCGCATCAAACACAATCAGTTTTAGTGGCCCCTGAAGTGATATGAATATGTTAATGTTGTGACCATGGCATGTTATACCTCATCTTAAAGCTCATTTTCCCAAGACAACAACCATCCCATTTAATGTATTCTAAAAGTCTAATACATTTACATTTGAATGAGATAAAATTGCATAAATATAAAAAATAAAAATCTTTGGCATATCAATCTACAAGTCTTTGCAACTTGGGCCCAGTTTCTGCTACATCCAAACGAGCAGTAACTGAACTATTTTTGTTCAGAAAACTGTTATATAAAAGTAAAAAAAAAAAAAAAAAAAAAAAGGCCAGAAAAAATTCCAAAATTGTCAAACTGGGGTTCTATGTAAATGTGTTTTTGAATGAACGTGACAAAGTTAAAAATGAGCTTGTTATCAGCACCACCCATATGAATAGAACATCTTCTAAAACTACACAGAGAAGGTCCCAATGGTTCTATTTATGCATAGCTGGGATACCTAACTTTCAAACCACAACAAAAGGGAAAATATGAAATCACTGTCACATCTGTAGAAAGAGAGTACCGCCCTCACTCAATCATTCTCAGCCAAACAAGGCTCTCTTACAATTATGCTAAATATAACTTGTTTTCAAATAAGACAAAGACAGCGTTTTCTCACAACTTTAGACCTATTCAAAAGTCTTTCTGTTGAGACAACCGATATGGATTATTTATGGGGGAAAAAGTTTAGGTGCCCTGGCTTTAAGTTCCCCCAGTGTATAATAAAACCATTAGAGCCATATGGGGCATGTGACAGAGGACTGCTGCAGGAGACAGAAACAAAACAACATTTCCTGTGCCATTGTTCCCCTTCAGACATATGTGTGATCAATAACACAATCTGTGGAAACGGAACCTGCCACCACAAAGCCGGCGGCCATTACTGCGCATGTCACTCCGGCTTCTCAAACTACGGAAACGTAACGTCACGCTGCTCTGGTACGACACAAAACGCAAAACATCAAATTTTGTTCGTGTGAATAACTGAGAAAAACCATGCATGTGTTTTTTGCAGAATTAAACTGTGAAATATTTGAAGACGTGGGCAGTCTGAGGGAGGTAGGGTCACTGATAATTGACTTGTTACTCATTATATAACAATGTGTGTTTCTGATTAAAGCTGCTCCACTTACTTATTGTACTCATTTAACTATTAGGTAACATTTAATTTAATAATCAATAATGAATAATAGTAGCTAATAGCAATACGTTAAGGGTTAAAGTGGTTAATTTATGCTGCCTACCCATGTTTAGTCCTGACTCTGGGTGCTAGCAGGAGGCCAGTCCCTGTGCTCCTCAGAGTCCAAATTTGTACTTTGGAGCGAGGCCATGGAGAGACTAGTGCACAAGCAGAGCTGCTTTAAAGTTTATTCTCTGAGCCACAGGAAGCCATTGTAGGGAGCTGAGAACTGGACTAGTGTGATCGTACTTCCTGGTTCTTGTCTATATATTTTGAAAATACTGCAGCTGTTTTATGGATCGTTTGGAGAGACACTTTGGACACTGCATTTTTGGTTTTGGCAATGTTTTATATCAGGGAATGCCAGGCTTTCCTCTCCACAGTAGTGCTACCCATCCTCCTTGAAAACCACATTTTGACAACATATATTTCCTTCAAAATACAAGTTGGTATAAATATTTCACAAAATAAATGGTTTCATATTGTTTGGTATTTTGGGCAATACACTTAATACAAGATTTTCCAATGAGCAGTAGCATTTTTTTATCATTCCACCCATTGGCCACCATAAATGTTACCTAATTCATACCTGTACATGACAGTTGTTTTTGGTTTTGTTTTACTATTTATAAAACTTTTCATTGCAGAACTTTAGCCCAGCCTATGACCTGATGGTGGATCTGACAGATCAGTGTAAACAACTGGCCAAAAATGAGACTACCACCAACTTGGACGGAGAGGGTCTAATCAAGGTAAAAAAAATATATATATATATATATACATTTTTCAGTCTTTAGGAATTGATTAATGATTATTTGGAGTGCTTGCAAACCACTCCAAACCACTCGCCAGACAACATGCTTTCTAAACAGATTAAATAAATTCTGCTGAAACAACTTTCTTTCAGGTTTGTGGCCACTTCACCAACAAATACATTGGCCAGTCAAAGAATAACTATACTTGATAATCCTTATATAGCAGCCTTTTTTAATAGTTTGGAGCAGAAATCTTCCCACAAACTGTCACACAGAGACAGGAAAGCTTTTGTTTTTGGAGTTTTCGAGTCTGTTTATGCTGGGATGGACGTATTCAACCGGTCTGCCTCAGACCCGGTGCTTTTGTTGATCCATGTCTCTCTGTCTCTCTGTGTCTGGTGCAGAGGCTGTTGTCCGTGATCAACCAACTCCTGTCCGGCAAGCCTTTCCGTGATAACAGGAAAGTCTCCACCTTTTTGGACATGGTTGAGGGCATTGTAGGGCTCACCGGGCTCTTCACCACGCCCCCGGGGCTCAAGAAGTCTTCAAACTACACAGGTGGAATATAAAATAGTTTATAAATGTATAGCTTGTGTTCTCAAAAGGTTGTAGCCTTTAAAAAAGTTATTGGTACCCCGCACAACATATTTAAACCATTAAGAATAGCCAACACAAAGTGTGTATTTGGGTCATAGTCCCTGGACTTTTGCTAGATTAATAATCAATCGTACCATAATAATTGGACTATGAGCCGCTACTTTTACGCTTTCTGAGTGAATGTTTGCATCCTCAGATTGCATTGTTTTATTTAGTTTAGCTTGTGCGTCAAAACACGTCATAATTGAATCATATTGTGACCAGTTATAAAGGATTTCTATCAACTTAGTTTTACTCTACTAAAGGCCCACCGGCTGTTAATACATTACAGCATAAAAAACTAAAGTTTATATGTTCAATTGCGAGCAAATGTTGTTCCTTTTCCAATTCAGCTGGTGCGGTTCATATACAGCTGTGCTTGAGTCCAGCATGTACTGTAATTGTATTTTGACAAATTGAACTTCTATTCTGAAAATGTAATTTTTGTGTACAGATCTTATGCTGCTTTTACATAAAGGAAGTGTCTTGCCCCAAGGACGAAAAACATTATCAGTGACGCACGCCACGTTGGATATCCAGATGGAGGTGGTTGCAGGGGATCCCTCAAAATACCCTGGTATCTGTCTGATAATGTGCATTTCTGTAGATTTCTTTAGTGAGAGTAATTAATCTAATGAGTTTTCTGTGTCAGACTTTGCTGCAGTGTCACTTCTGACCTATAAGAAACTTGAAGAATCTGCCGATGGATTTTTTGATGGTGTAAAAAAACGAGAAGGAGAAACGCTCAAAATAAACTCTCGAATAGTGACCATCACTGTTACCAATCCAGACACGCACCACCTCAAAGAACCGGTCCTAATCACATTGAACCATCTGCAACAGGTAGTAATTCAACCCACATCAATCTAAATGACATACTGTACAATGAACACAATGATTGCTGTAATGTCATGTTTTACAGAAAAATCAGACATCCCACTGCGTTTTCTGGGATTCGTCTATGAATGGGGGGGCGTGGTCCACTCGCGGGTGCCAAGTTCTAGAGACAAATCCAAAATATACAGTCTGCTCTTGTAACCATCTGAGCAGCTTTGCAGTTCTAATGGCCCTCTATGATGTGAAGGTATGAGGTCATAAATGTCCAAAGCATAAATAGTATTGTTTTTGCTGAAGAATGTTTTGTTTCTTCCTTACAGGACCGAATTGAATTGCAGCTCATAACTTGGATTGGAATGTCGCTGTCTTTGATTTGCCTGTTTATCTGCATCCTGACGTTTGGACTGATCCGCTCTATTCAAAGTCCAAGAACTAAAATCCACCTGCACCTCAGTATCAGCCTCTTCACGGCCTTCTTTATCTTCCTGATTGGGATATCGCGCACAGAAAACAGGGTAAAGACAAGTACAATCATCAAAATACTACAGCGTCGCAATTTAAAAGCTGTCAAAACAGCCTTTAAACCATGTAAATACTGTATGAGCAATGACACTATGGCTGCAACTGTTATTCGACTAATAACCTTAATTATAATAGTGTTTTGATTAGAGGTACAACGATGCAAGACAGATAAAGGTTGTAATAATCTTATAAATTATATTATATGTTTCTTCTATACCAGACAAAAAAACTATATTCATTTAATCTCAGTGTAAAAAGGAAATCATTGTTTGACTTGTCAACTGATGTTTAAAATAATTACTAATGAGTTGACAGCTAAAATATTTGCCCATGACAGTTAAGCACGGGGTTTTCAGTTGAATATTTCAGTATAAAAGCGAGTAAAAATAACATTACCCACACAAAGACTATTAAAGTGGCCCTTCTTGCTGTCTAACCCGTTCTAAAACATTTCCAAAATAGACATAGCATTCATAGCCATCCAACCAGAACTTTCCCATAATTTTTTGGGCAAGACTTTCCCCTGAACTGCACTTTTTCTTAACTCTGTCACTCCAACTGCACATTAGGTCGGCTGTGCTGTGGTAGCGGGACTGCTCCATTTCTTCTTCCTGGCTTCATTTTGCTGGATGTGTCTGGAGGGCATACAGCTCTTCAGGATGGTGGTGCTGGTCTTTAACACCTCCTTCAGAACAGTCTACCTGATGGCAGCCGGTTACGGAGTCCCGGCAGTAATTGTCTCTGTCTCAGCCCTCGCTAATGCCAAGGGATACGGCACGGAGAGATAGTGAGTCCCTCTATATTACTGCTCAGCTTGCATTATATCTAATTTATACCTCAATTTTGGGCCAGAGTGGGCTGACAGGTTCCACTTTTTGCCTTGCAGTTGCTGGTTAAGCCTGGATTCCATTTGGACTTTTTTCGGGCCAGCCTGCATCATCATTTTTGTAAGGAGAGACTATAGTTACACAAAGATATGGTATAACCATACTGTATGTATAATATTTATATAAAGTTTAAATCTGGTTCTGTTGGTCGATAGGTCAACATCATCTTCTTCCTAATCACTGTATGGAAATTGGCGCAGAAGTTTTCAAGTCTTAATCCTGACCTTGACAAGCTCCAAAAAATAAAGTAAGTCATGCTACTAGGACTGGACATGCATATATATATATGTTTATAAAATATATGCAGGTCCACATTCTGGCAAGTCAAAATAGTGTGCTAAAATGTACTGGTTAAAGCTGGGGTGGTTCAAACCACAAAAACTGAACTGCGTAAAAAAAATATCTATTTAGTTCCATGCTCTTGAAACAGTTTTGTACAATTACTAGTTTTCACATGCATGTATTTTTGGCATCTGTCACATCCCCTTTTTCAGACAAGTGAAAGAGGACTCACTCAACTATCAACGCTCAGCCCAAGTTTACCACCATTGTGTATGGAGGGCTTTAATAAAATCCTTAAAAGCACTGAATAAAACTGATAGATTATCATACAATTTTGAATTGTTATATGAAAAAGGTTTACACAGTTTCAATGTAAGATCATAGATCTTGATTTTAGTGTCAATCCTGTTACATTGAGGTCTAATGAATGTTAAGATGCATCTTCAAAACATACTCCATATTATAAATGTATACATTACCCACCTACGAACATCCATGTTTTCCAATCAGAAACACTGAATACATAAAAAATGGAGAGGAAAATGTATTTTTTGGACTTTAGGCGTGTAGTCCGAAGCTGTGTTTTACCAGATTGAATTTATACGTAGCCTTGTTGCCCTCTGCAGGACATTCACCATCACTGCAGTGGCGCAGCTGTGCATCCTGGGCACAATGTGGATCTTTGGTTGCTTCCAGTTTGAGGAAAATACTATTGTCGTGTCGTACCTTTTTACCATCTTTGCCAGTCTTCAAGGAGTTCTTCTCTTTCTCATGCACTGCTTGTGTTCAAAGCAGGTAAGCAATACATATTAAAAGCAGGCCTGTCATAATGAATAATATATCAAGTTATCGTTCAGTAATTGATGAAAGAAAAAACAATTTGGAGTTCCATATTTAGTTTTTTTTTTATTTTGAGGGGCTCCCATGTTTTTCATTTGTATATTTTTGATACAATTGTTTGGGTAAAACAATCAGATTATAGATGTAGAGGGTTGAATAAGTCACTTTAATGTCTAAATAGTGTTTAAAAAAATTATTTAGTTTCTCAGCACTTTACTCTTTAATGAAAAGGACAATTCTATGAAAGCCTTTACCATGGTATTGAGCTAATTTAAATGATTTCTACTCGTCCCCATAAGCTCACAATAAATATACTGTTGTTTTCAATCAGGTACGAGACGAATACCAAAACATACTGTCCAAATGTTGTGCACCGCAGAAGAAATATTCAGAATTTGGTTACACGCATTCCAGCAAAGCACCAGTAAGAACATAAAAAACATGTCAAATGAAGTGAATGAATTGAACTAAAAAGACAATATTTGTGTGTAACAGGGATCAAAGAGCACGCAAGACACTGGAGAGTCTAATATGTGACAAACAGAAGGTCGACTGGACAGAAGCATGCTCTTACTGTTACTGTTCTGATGTATGCATTTTTCTTAGAGCTGCTAATTTATAGTTTACTGCACTGCTGTCTTTTCCATAACTATTTCAGCCAAAATGTGTTTTTTACTTATTAGCATGGGAAAGAAAAAAGGTCCAAAACATCTTTCCTAATGGGCAGTGGTGAAAGAAATAAATTGTAATATTGTGTTTAATTTTAGTCCCTTCTGTGTGCAGGCTCATAGGTACTTACCTGTAAAGATTCATTGAACTGGATATAATGTAAAAGGAATGTACTTGTAAAGTATTGTGAAAAAAAGAGACGTGTGTATATAGTGTGGCCCAAAATACGGTAAATTAGGGTGGATGTAAAATGTTTTGAAATATCACTTGGATGTATTTATGGCTTCTGACCTTTAAAGCTGAGGTACCTAACTTACAAATCATAAACATGCCAATAACCAATTAAGCCATTAAAATCCATGCAACTAGATGGCTCTAAAACAGTTTAGTTTTATGTATTTTTGGCCTCTGTCACATCTTCATAACAGAGAAGTGAAAATGAGAGGACCACCCTCACTCAGCCATTGAGCTCTCAGCCCTAAGCGCCAAATAGTGACCCACAGGGCTCTCTTTTATGCAAAATGATGACATATTTTCTGGGTTTATTTGTATATTTTACATTTACAAAACAATGTCTATTGGGACAAAATGTTATTTATGAAACAAAAATGTAGGCACCCCAGCTTTAAGGCTACATAATGCAATATTAAAGACAAAGCACTTAAATAACATATTGTATCAATTGCAACTTTTTATACTGCAGGTCTATATAAATGTTGTAAATAAAATACATTTCTTATTACATTTTATGGTTCATTCATTTCAGCTACTAACAGAAAATCTATAGACAAGAGTCTCTGTCAAGCTGACAGCCAAAGAGCAAGTGCTTTTAGGTGCTTTTTTTTTTTCTTTCCGTTTAGCTTCCTGTTTAGAGATCTCTCTCATGATGTCCACTCCAACACTGCCCAAATTACCTCCGTGAGTCTGAGAAATAGTTTCCATGATCCAGCTGTAAATCATATACAACCATTTACGTTTTCACTTGTGTACAACTATAAAGCATGGTGCCCAAAATAATAAGTGACTTCATCCATAGCCTAAATTAGTATTTTGTTACACTTAAACTTTTTGAAAGGAGATTATTGATTGAGAGAGTAAATTAAAGCTTGGCCATTACAGCACAACAGCGGAGAGAGTGAGAGGGGATCAGGAGAGTGGGAAACTTGGATCTAGTTGAGATAAAATAACTCCAAAACCTCTGGAGAGAAAATGTGAGAGGAGAGATAGAGGCGTATCGGACTACAAAACGAGCTATTTTAAAGCCTCGGCAAAATCCTCTTTTTTGAGCCATTCTAGACAATTCAGCAGTGGTACGTGAAGTCATCAAGTGGGTGAGATTCATTAATTATTCAGAATCATCGAACAGCATGCGTGGTCAATATACTTTGTGCATTATTCTGACTGAGGCGCATAACTCAAACTGGACTCACGGCGCTCACAGCTCAGACAGAATGAGAGGTAAGCGCTATCTTTGTAACTATGCAAGATCTCAAAAAAAACAATAGTTATTATTCAAAAATGTATGCTACACCTGCATGATTTGAAATATTTGCGTAATTATAATTAGTGTTGTCATTTGCACAACAAGAAAAAAATGACAGCTCAAAAAGAGGCCGAAAGTTCCTCTTAATTTGAAGGAATTTAAAGTTAAAGACGTTTTGAATAAGAGTAACATTTTTATTTTCTCAAAGATCTTGTAGTCCAGATTTGTAGGGGGAGAGCCACTTTGTTATTGGAAGTTGGTTGCATGAATAGAACATCGGGACAGACCTGATCTGAACCTGTACATAATGTGTAGTCAAAGTGAAAAACAGTATTGAATTACCGCTGACATGGAAAACTCCATAACATTTCTCCAAGAGTGACACACTGTTCAATATAATCATAGCTACAGCAGTACAATGAATCTGGTTTAAGTGCATACATTGCTTTGCACTTTTGTTGAGCTACATCACTTACAGCAATTGTATTCTTTCCTTCTCATCATTGTGTGGCTGCATCACCTTCTCTCTCAGAAAATCATCTTTTGAGAAAACCCTGATATCGCTTACTTTTTTGTTGTTAATCACATGTTATTTCACACAACTAACTAATCAGCCACAAAAAGGCTGCAAAATATTTTCTTAAAAGTGTCCCTTGTCTGTGAGTCAAGGTTAGAAATACCACATTGTAAAATTAATTATCTAGATTATTGTTCAACCTGTTTTATTAAATAGTGACTCACCACCTGAGTACATGTTCGAACCATTTTTTTATGGGAACACTACCATTGTTACACAGTTATAATCTCTGGGATTAGCCTTTAAAATGCTTCCCAAACCCTACATCATCAACTACTGAGAAATGAAGCCCTTAATCTGCCAAAACATCATTAATTTTATGGTTCAACTAAGCATTGATTTTGACCACAATTTTGACCAGGACTGTCTTATCCTCTAGTCTGAATCAAATCGCGAGTTTATGGCCTTCAAGTCTGAGTCAAGTCTCAAGTAAATAGCAACTAGCAACTAGCAACCTATGGTGCTTATAACAAAAGTGTTTAACAAATTCAGTAAAAGCAGAAAAATCAGCTCTTGTCTGTTCTTTCAGAGGAAAACTCTTACACACGGTAATCTGAAGCTCATGTCTCATTCTTCAAATAATTACATTTTGTTTCAGTTCATATTTTGTTTAACTAGATGCCACTATGAGTAAACATTCCGAACCTTCAACTTTTGCCAATAACATTATATCATATCACTGTTCACAAACATATTTACCAACTTTCAATTTTCCATTGACAGCTGTAGCCATGACGACCACATCTTGACGACCACATCTCTCCTCTGCTTCAGTATGAACTCCTCTTCCTCGTCCACTGCTGCCAACAGCAGCTCCACATCCATCCAACCCTCTGGTTTAGGAATGTCCATCTTCACCATGACTTTTGGAGCCATTTCCAACCTCACTGCTCTGGCAATCTTGGCCAAGTCTCGAGTTCGGTTTAGGCGCCAGTCTAAAACTCCATTTCTGATATTAACTGTGGCCTTACTATTTGCTGATCTTGTAGGTCATTTGATACCAGGATCTTTTGCCGTGTCACTTCATATCAACTACATGTATCATCCGAGACCTGATACGCCTAATGAGACTTTCTGTCAGATTTTTGGGGTGAGCATGGTGTTTTTTGGCCTGTCTCCGTTACTGCTGGGTTGCGCAATGGCTGTGGAACGTGTAGTTGCCATTTGCTTCCCATTCTTCCATGCTGCGACTATAACTAAAACCCATGTGCAAAGACTTGTCCTCTTATTGTTTTCTTTTGCACTGTCAATATCCATTTTGCCTCTATTCAAAATTGGGAAGTACACCATCCAACACCCAGGAACTTGGTGTTTTTTACACATTCAAATCCCACATTCAAGACGGGATAGAGACATGGCACTGGCCTTTTCATATCTTGGGATTACAGCTCTGACTTTTTCTCTTCTCTGTAACATCCTGAGTGGTTTGGTGTTGCTGCAGGCCAGGAGGAGAACCCAATATGTTGACACAAAAACAGATAATAATTGTGCAAGGCGCCCTTCAACGGCTTCATCGGCTTCTTTATTTTGTTCTCTGGATGTTGAGATGATGGTGCAACTGGCAGTACTTACGGTGGTCTCCTGTGTCTGCTGGAGTCCATTCCTGGTACAACATGTTTTCATGGTTTCTGCAAAATATTAATGTAAATCAATGCAACCATCCAACTAAATAAGCAAATACATACAAATGCAAATGTGTTGCATGAAAAGGGGAAGGAAAGGAGTTAGTAGTCTAAACTGTCCTTATTTTGAGAAGAAAAAACAAGTTTGGCTTGAGTGCCATATTTCTTCACTAAATGTTAAAAAGAGGCTTGTTAAACCACCTCTTTGCATGCCAAAATTAAATCCTAGACATCTAATTGACAGATAGGATCCAGTTTGGGCACCCCTGATCTATTCTATCTATGTTTGAATAGATTGTATGTAAAACGACCTCAATTTATATTATTAATACATCTATGATAGCACATTCAAGACGCTATTCAGAACTTTTTAAATGCAACTCTTTATGACTGTCATTATTTAAGATTTCTAAAACCCTTTCTGTGTGTGTGTTTTTTTTTAAGATTCATATCTTGGTGATGCAGTCCTACCAGAGTTCAGCACCCAAAGGCCCAGACAAGCTTCTTCTTCTGGGATTACGCATGGCCTCCTGGAACCAGATCTTGGACCCCTGGGTTTACATCCTGCTGAGGAGAAATGTGCTTTTCAGAGTCTGTTGTAGAAGCACTCTCACTAACTTTACATACTCGCGCAGGGAAACTTTTGTATTACAATGAATAAACACGTGTGGCAAAACTTACAATACTTTTTTTCAGTATGCATAATATATGAGGAGGTGTCGATGCAAAGAGAGAAGTTTTTTTTTACTCATTTGTAGTCTGTACCCGGCTCCACTAATCACCTGCTTAGTCCCAGTCCAGATACAACCATGAAGAAGCAATTGACCAATCACACTGAAGGACATATTGACAGGCACCTGATTCCACCAATGAGAACCCCGCTTTGCTCAATTGTTTCCTGGGTTGGGTGGGGCTTCACTCGACATGAATGTGTTCAATATGGAGAACAGAAAATAGATGAAGGCGTTTCACTGCATTTCTCCACTCATCATATTTGTACCTTATGTTACTCTTTTTTTTGTTTAATCTCTTTAAATCCCTTTTAATTCACTTTCTGGACAATATCGCACACACTCGTTGCTAGCATGATTAATTGAAACGCTCGTGCAAGTCGGCATACTGGGGAACTACGGTAACTCTTCAAACTTTTGGAAAAACATCCAAATCCACCCATTTTTGCACACTTTCACTGTTTGACGTGGATAAAAATCACTCTCAAAGTTGCTACAAAAGTTAGCATCGGCTTATCTGAAGAAACGACAGCGCTTATAAGTTGTGGCGCATAGGTAAGTTGTATTAATGTAAAATCGTGATCCAAATAAGTTCTCGCCTTTTTGTTAGTACTAAGGAATAACATCGGTGTAATAGCAAGGCTTGTACCCATTCAAGCTGTATAGAGGGGTTTAAATGAGGCCAGTTCTGTCTTAAAAGCCTTGTCTTTCTCTGTGTTTTCATGCTGACAGAATGCACAATGCGGCGAGTGTCTCTGCCTCTCTGGGATCCCTGGGACTGCTTCGGTTCTTCGGGGTGTCCTGGTCCTGGAGTCTGGCAGCAGGCCTCGGGGTCTACTTGGGGACAAAGAGCTGGAAATACTTCTACATTGCCGCCCACACAGCCCGGAGAGATCTGAAGTGAGGCTTACAAATGAATGAAAGGGTTATGTGATGTGTAAACGCCAGGAGTTATCAAACTTTTTAGGCAGGGTCCTTCTAAATATGCGTGAAATCAACTTGTGACCCCTTTGGCTGAATAATTCAACTCAATTCAGTTTAAGTTCAAGCACCATTTTATATTGTCACATTTTGTATCAAATGATAGATTGCGTTCCCTTTCTAGTATGCCATTCCAGTTGGAGGGCAGGTGCCTTTTTTGATATGTTGAAAACGTAAATGTTTTCCCTGATCATTATTTGATGTGTGGATTCAGAACCCTGCCAAATTATTCTTATATCGGGAAGTTCTTTCTATTGGCCAACAGCATGAATATTATCAGTCCAAGACACCTTTTTATATGAGGAGAAAATAGACCATAGTTTGTGTCAGACTAAGAAGATGTAGAACTTTGATGTTTGATTTTTGTTCAATGTCCTGTTCCCCATTTTAAGAACCACTGGTATATAAGTCAAATGTATGTTCTTCAGCATTTGTTAAATAATAATCTTAAATCTTAACTTTCACTGCAAGTAATGTTAGAATTTTTAAAAGTTATATAAGATAAGATAAGAATTCCTTTATTCGTCCCACAGTGGGGAAATTTTGATGTTGCAGCGCACATATAGGACAGTAGTAAGAGCACACAGGGAGCACACACAATATATAAAAATAAGTAGTAGCTATGTTTCTTAGCTAACATAACTAGCTGTAGATGCTGAAAATGCTTCAATACCAGTCAAAAAATATATATGTTGTAGTGCAGTTATATACTGTACAGTTAAATGGTGCAGGATAATAAGTAGATAAAGTAAAGTGACATAAGGTAAAGTGACATTGTTCTGTGACATTCTGAAGTTGCAGTATTGCACATTGAACATGATTTAAGAGTTTACTTAATTACAGATGAATGAAATTTACAGGCTCAACAGTTCTTATTGTACAGTCTGACAGCAGCAGGAAGGAAAGACCTTCAGAACCTCTCCTTCACACAGCGAGTGTGAATTAGTCTGTCACTGAAGTTGCTCTCCAGAGCAGAGAGAGTGTCCTGCAGGGGGTGACAGTCATGGTCCAGCATAGATGTGATATAGATATATAGATATATTGTGTATAATTGTAATGTTGTGCTTTTTTCCTCTCCATCAGTGGCCTTTATGTGCTGGTGAGGGTGAAGTTGGCTCTGTGGAGCTACATGAAAAATGGAAGCAACATTCTTGATGTTTTTGCTGAAACGGTCAAGCGGCACCCAAATAAACCTGCACTGATCTATGAAGCAACAGGAGAGACCTGGACCTTCACCCAGCTGGATGAGCTGTCCAACGCGGTGGCCCACTGGGCCCAGGATCAGGGCTGGTTGTCTGGAGATGTGGTGGCCCTCTTCATGGAAAGCAGGCCACTGCAAGTGGCTCTGTGGCTGGGCTTTGCCAAAGTCGGCGTTGAAGCTGCGCTGATCAACTTTAACCTTCGACAAGACTCACTCATGCACTGTCTCGAGGCGTCGGGCTGTCGGGCCATCGTCTTTGGAGCTGAACTCGCTGATGGTAAGAACTGTACCAATATTAACATCAGTAAAACTACAAGAGAACAACTGATTCTGCTTTAATTGCTTCATGGGGAACATTTGAACTTACTTTTGTACTTGACATCACAGCCATCCAGGACGTGAGTGCTGCTCTTAACCCGTCAATGGTGCGGTTTTGCTCTGGGGAGCTCAGTGCTGCTCAGCTGACAGGCCTTAAAGCACAACCCCTGGAACCACTTTTACTGTGTGCTGCCAGACACCCTCCATCACCCTGTCATCCGCCAAAAGGCATGAATGGTAAATGATTTCTCATATTGCAGTCTTTACTTCAAATTGGATCTGTATATGCTCGGGGAGATGCAACAATATTCTAGTACAATTTATCTAAAGGTTACATGTCTAGAAACTCTTTAGTCTCATGCAGTGATAATGGCTTTATGGATATTTCTTCCACAGATCGACTGTTTTACATTTACACGTCAGGCACCACAGGACTGCCAAAGGCTGCTATTGTGGTTCACAGTCGGTATGTATATTCCCACTGTGACCCACAGATATGATATATTTTTTTCAATCATTATTTATGCTTCAACAGTTACTACAGGATTGCTGCTTTTGGCTATTTTGCTTTCTGCATGCGTCCTGATGATATTATATATGACTGTCTGCCACTATACCACTCTGCAGGTATGTTATCTCCTTACTTTTCTGTGAAAGCCATACTTCTATATAACCATACTTATTTCAGGTAACATCGTTGGAGTTGGGCAGTGTCTGATCAATGGCCTTACTGTAGTTGTGAAGAGGAAATTCTCTGCCAGTCGTTTTTGGGATGACTGCATCAAGTACAATTGCACGGTTAGTTACAACAAGAGTGGCTTTTCTGTAATGGAACATTCATGATTATTAATTTCAGTACTCCACACTGCACAGATTATCCAGTATATTGGAGAAATCTGCCGCTACCTCCTGTCTCAGCCAGAGCAGCTGTCAGAGAAAAGGCACAAGGTTCGTCTTGCTGTGGGGAACGGCCTTCGTCCCAGTGTCTGGGAGGCTTTTACGCAACGCTTTGCGGTCAAACAGATCGGAGAGTTCTATGGAGCCACTGAGTGCAACTGCAGCATCGCAAACATGGACGGAAAAGTAAGTTTGAGACTAAACAACAACAAAAAAGTTGTACCAGTTATGGGCTTCAATATTCCGGTTCCTTTTAGGTTGGAGCCTGTGGATTCAACAGTCGCATTCTGCCGTTTGTGTACCCCATACGTTTGGTGAAAATAGATGAAGACACAATGGAGCTGGTACGGGACAGTCGAGGCCTCTGTGTGCCCTGCCAACCTGGTAGAGTTTCTCGACTTTGGTTCATTTGTAGTCTTTTTAACACCACTGAACACAATGTGTGTGTGTGTGTGTGCATCACAGGTGAACCAGGCCTTCTGGTCGGTCATATCAATCAGAAGGACCCATTACGCCGCTTTGATGGCTATGCTAACCCAGAAGCTACAAAGAAAAAGATTGCTCATAATGTCTTCAAGAAAAATGACACAGCCTATTTATCAGGTTTCATTATGTCATTCATAAAATTGTATTTGTTTCATGATTGGTCATTTATATTGACCACAGTGTCTAATCAGTTATGTCCCGTCTTCAGGTGATGTGCTGGTCATGGATGACTTTGGCTACATGTACTTCCGGGATCGCGGTGGAGACACATTCCGCTGGAGAGGAGAAAACGTGTCCACCACTGAAGTGGAGGGAATCTTGAGCAACCTCCTGAATCAGACTGATGTCGCTGTCTATGGGGTTGTGGTGCCAGGTCAGCCCTTTACATCAGCTGATGGCTGTACTTTTGGTTTGATTTTTGTTTTTTAATTACATTTTTTTGCTCAGGAGTTGAAGGTAAAGCAGGAATGGCTGCAATAGCAGATACCACTGGGAGCTTTGATCCCAACAGTTTCCTGCAAAAAGTCCAACAAGCTCTTCCTTCCTATTCCCGGCCTGTGTTCCTACGGATTTCCCCACAGGTGGACACCACAGGTAAACCAAAGACTGATTAATATAGTTTATATATTATATAAATTAAACTTAATTCATGAAAGTTGTATAAAAATCCTTTTTATAGGTACATTTAAAATCCAGAAAACTAGACTGCAGCGAGAAGGATATGACCCACATCACTCCACTGACCAGGTCTACTTTTTAAATTCCAGAGCTGCACGATATGATATTATTGATGAAGAGTTGTACAATGCCATAATTGAAGGAAACGTTTCATTATAATATAAGCGGGTAGAACAGACTCAGTGCCTTGTCTGGAGAGTTGCAAATTCAACTTCTACATTTTGTCTGGCATTTGTTAATTTGGCTGGTCCTATGGCCTTTTATGGTTTTAAATTATTCAGGGGAGAAAAAAAGCATGGCCACAATGCTGTTACAAATTAAATGTTTAACACTGTAACACAGATGAGAATATGCAAGGGCATTGGACCTGTCCAGATTTCACTGTGTAACGAAATAACTTTTGAAAGTTGTGATTGATTTTTACCATATGAATAGGACTGAAAATAGGATGCGTTATTCAATAATGTGGCTTGTCTCTTGTAAGGGATATAAGTCACACGGTTACAGTTACTGGAGTTTTTACTGAGCACATAATTTAATACAAGATCAATTCAGCTGGTTCAGGAAATGTGTCTGTGTGCAGCTATGAAGTGATTGTTACTGTAAGAGCCAGAATAACATGTAGTACAATGAAACTACCTGATCAAACACTAACCACAGACCTAATACATTATACGTTCTACGTTTCCTCTGGAGAGATTTAATTACACACTCAATTTGTGCCTTACGTGCAATAAAAACAAATTTTATTTTTTCATATACCATAAACATTGAGTCACCTTGTGTCATGTGACATGTTGTATTAGCAGTTTTAGGGATCCTTGCATTTGTAAACCCTTCAGAGGAAGATTGGTCAACCTAATTGTTATTAAACCCTGAAAACTATCAGTTTGTTTCTTGTCATTTGTGAAACTTACTATACATTTGCTTCATATTTTCATACATCAGTTGACAATAGAATCCTTGAAGGAAGTATTTTGAGGGGGTGCTCTTTGCAGGCAGTGCAGAAGTAGGGGAACACACTTGTGGTGAGGATGTTTTGAAAGGTGTAGAGTGGTATTCGCTCTCCGGGCTCATAAAACACCACTTTGCTGCGGTCCATATCTGCAACTATTCGAATGACCTGTGGCGGCTTGGTCATGGTCAGCGGCTCCCACGGTGCAGTGCAGGCCTTGTGCTCTCCATTGCGAAACCGTATTGTCCAGAATCCTCCCGCTGGCGTCAGGACGTGCTTACCCTTCCTGTTGATGGAGTCACTGGCCACGCCTATCACCCAATAGGTGTTGTCCTTTACCTCTACGTCCCAACTGTGGCGCCCAGAGGAGAAGCTCTCAGCACCCAACAACTCGGCACTGATGTCAAAGCGCTCTGGATTGTCCGGCAGCTTAAACATCCGAGTGGAGTTCTGGACAACTGTGAGGTCTTCTGACAGGATGAAGCAGCTGGCAGCCGTGTTGGGGTCAAGAACCACAGGATCTATGATGTAAAGAAATGTATGGTTGAAAAATGTATGCTAATTCTATGAAAATGAATATGTTGTAGGTGTTGCAGAAACTAACTATGTTTAATGATGCGCTTCATCTTCTCCCATACTTTAAACTTCAAAGACCCCAAATGTTTGGCCACATCAATAAGGGACTCTGGGATCACCTGAGGCTCTAGTACAGTCCTCCATGTCCTGTGAAGGTATTGAAGAGTTTGTTACTAATTCCCATATGACAAACATCAGATAATTTTTTTTTATTTACCTTTTGATTGTTTCTTTGTAGTTCTGGAGAAACATTGGGAAACAAACTGTGATTATTTATTCCTGTTTCCATATTAAATTCAACATTACATGGATAACAATGAATAGTACCTGGAGAAATGGGATGTCTTTGGCCATCATTTCCTGTTCCGCAACTTTAATAGTATTTGTTAACGATGCTATTTCATTGGTTATTTCTTCCATGTTCTGACTTATCATTTTATTCTTTTGTTCTTTCTCGGTTTGTAGTGTCTGAAGTCGTGCAGCCTCTTGCTCTATGAGAAACTTATGAAGCACCCCAAACTCTTCTTTGATCTGTGTTTCAGTGTGCTCGGCCTGGTTCTACAAGCACAAACGGTATGATCAATTTCTCCTGTCGACGTTTGTTCAATCAATGTCCAACTCCAGTTTACCTTGACATGCTCTGCCATCTCTTCACACACGTCTTGGGCCTTCCTGAAAGCCTTCAGCTTCTCCTTCAAAGGTTTAAGAGCCGTTCTCAGTTCATCCTATGAAAGGAACAGACACAGAATCATCATTTAAGCTGTCAGCACAACAGGGTTCTTTCCAGCTGTCACATTCCCCTCGAAGTCCCATAAAGACATGTTTGCATTATGAGCAAATGTGAGCACAAGCAGGAGGAGGATTTGATGTCTAGGTTGCACAAACAAATTGCTAGAGTCAATATGGGGATACAGCTTGGCTCCCACTTGGGGTTTGACTTAAAGCTTAAATTATTTTGCTTTCTCAAAAATGTTTTGTTCTATTACTATTGTTCACATGGTTGTATTTTTGGCTTCCGTCACATCCATCTATCAGCTTTCTCAGACATGAAAATGAAAACGAGAGGACAACACTCACTCAGCCAATCAGCTCTCAGCCCAAAGCGTTCAATAGTGCCTCATAGAGATCTACCCGCAAGTTTACAAAATATAACATGTTTTGTAACAAGAAACAAATGGCATATTGTGGTCTGATTTGTTCACAACATTATACTTTTAGAAGACAAAAATAAGGTATTCAAGGTTTCCTCATATGAAATAACCCAGGAGTAAAGTGAATGCGACACCAAGTCAGGCTCTAGTTTCACGCCCCCAGAGACCGGTGCAGCGACATACCCAAAATATAGAGCTATTTTTGGGGGTAATAAATAGTGGCATACATCTTCACACATACCAAAATCAACATATGGATTAAGCTTTTGTGAGGATACACAATAACACTGGCCATAACATGCCATTTAGATTAAAGCTGATTTATGTTTTGTAGTCTCCAAAATATGATATGAATTGTAAAGCTGTATAACTAATGTAAAGATATTTCTTCAAAATCATTCATGTGACGTAGATACAGTGCAACCCAGAATTTCAACATAAACTGTGTAAAAAGATACATGATTTGAATAAATAAATAATTGGAATACTGGGCAATGTAAATCATTTATATAGAAATGACCTAAAAACAAGTGAAGTTTTGATATACATATGCTAAGAGCTGCTCATTGAAAGGCATGACTAAACTTACATTTTACAGAAGTAATACATTGATTTAAGGCTTACAGTGCGGGTAATTAATACTCAACAAATGTGACTGCTTTTTGACTGGCACATGACTCTCATATGTCCAAAATGAAAGTGCCACATACCAGTGCAACCAAGCTTTCTAACTTTAACTTCTTTGCCTTTTACCTTACAGTCCAAAGCTCCTTCCTCTGTGGGGTAAACCTTGTGTCCGGTATGCGTAGCCGATTTCCTACAAATGCCACAAATGGGCTGCAGATCTTCCACACAGAACAGGCTCAGCTTCTCCCCGTGCTCTTTACACGCGTTTGGATCACTCTTTCGCCTCTCATCCTTGAGCTTCTCACAGGCCTTTTCCAGCGCACTGCTCACCACCAGCTGATCCATGGAGGACCGGTGCCAGCACTGCGGACAGTAGTGCGAATCCCCTGCTCCCTGGTTCTCAAAGCTGCGGGTCAGGCACACTTTACAGAATCTATGCTTGCAGGTGAGCGCCACGGGCTGATCGAGAATGAGACCGCAAACAGGACAGAAAAGGTCACCCTGTTGGCGGGCGCATGTGGTGGCCATTCTTTAGTAATCTCCAAGGGGGCTTCACGGTGTCAACCAGCACAGGCACCTCCCATGCGTCTGACAAGCTACCTCATCTTAACCCCAGATTTAAGTGTTAATGCCGCCACTCCCCAAGGCATATCCCCTGCTATGCATGGCTGGATTGAGTATTCACATTGCACATTCACAAATAAACACTCTTACATGCCAATAAAACAGGCTTTGAGATGTATATCGGGCCAAGTCAAATCTGAAAAGTGACAATTGGACTTGTGAAAGGCAGGTGATACATTTGTCCTCCTTATCTGGCCCGACTCCATGGCCGCCTCTATGATATTTGAGAGGAGTGTTGAAATGGTCTGTCACTTTGTAATTAAAGCATTTACACAGGAACAATATCCCAGTAAATACTCGGCGTCAGTGCAAAAATAGCAGAGTAGTTGCATTGTCTTTTGCTTTGTCTTTTTATATGTACAGTGTGTAGATATTTAATTTATAATACATTATTAGTGACAACACTGGACATACATAGTTAATTATTTCCAAATTCACTTGTCCAAGTTGTCATTAATATAGATTAATTATCATCACATTTAAAATGCCTATATTAATCCCACTTAGTTGACCTTACTTAGTCTTTTCATCTTGAGTGCTGCTTAGTGCATCACCAAAAATAGGATGAGACAGAATACAGGGGAACATGATCCTGTTTCTTTTTTTTCTTTTTGGTATCAGGCCTCTGCTGCTTCAGCCTAAAGTCTGCCTTGCATCACACATTAGACTGGATTTGCAGTTTGTTCGACCCAGCAGGAGCTTAATTTCAAGTTTATCTAAAATTAACTTGGTTTGCATCTCAACAACTAAACTAAAGCCTCCTCTCGCAGCAGCATATAAGGTATTCCTCATCAGATCGGCACAAATAGTATGAGCCAAAGAGTCATATTTATTTATGCTCTTTCCTCTAGAAGTCCACAGCCAACTTTATCCTTCTGACAAACAAATAAATGGCTGTAAATTTGTTGTCAGATGTAATGAAATTATTATTAAAGTAGAAAAAGGTTTCTATTAAAAGCATGTAGACGCCGCTGGTTGCACCTGTCCATATGGATGCCCATACATCATCCAGACAGACCAAACACAGATGTAATGAGCTGGCTTCTGTGCATACTCTGCTGAGCCTGTGAGCTCTGAGAAATGTGAGATATTTGTATTTACGTCTAAATGTGTTTTTGTTGCAACTGTGCTGAGATTTTAGGTCTAATTTAAGAACCCAAATATGAATGATATTTGAAACATGACTAGGTGTATTTGTGCTTACCTTCCGCTCTTTGAAGGCCTCTTTTATAAGGCAGACGGTGTGGCCCATGTGGAGGCTGGTGGAGCGGCATTCATGGCACAAAGGCTCCAGCTCAGTTACACACAGCAGCGACAGTCTCTCTGCATGAAGCACGCAGGTTTTATGAGGTAGTCCATAGTTATCTTTAAAACAGAGGGGGCATTCTTTTGTGCCATGTTCAATCCAAAACAGGTCTAAACAACAGTTGCAAAAGCTCCGGTCACAACAGATGCAGCTCAGGACCAGTGGAGCCAAAAAGAATTCCTCACAAACGGCACAAAAAGAGTCCGCAGCCTCCTCTGGGATGTCGGTCTCCATCGGTGAAAGTCTGTGCGGCTCTCCCAGCTCCAGACATGCATGTGTACACTATGTTCAAGTGCAGGGAGCCAGCATGAGCTCATATGACCTACCACATTCAAAGAAGAACGGGGGCCTCCAAATGAGCATACACTACACATACATCTATAAAACTTTAATTTAGCACTCACTTTAACTACAGCTACTCTTCTGCTCTCTCGAACTGTGACGCGTATCATACAGAATACTCATTTGATAATGTGTTCACCTTGATGCAGCTGTATTTCTCCAACTTAATTACTGCTTAAGACCTAATCTAAAAACTATTTCAAGTGGACTCATCATTCATTTGATCCATCAAGTTAGGCTAGATACTGAAAACTGAATATATATATTTTTTATACATTTGATTAAAAAAAGCCTAACATCTTCAGAGGACTTGGGTTTGATTAAAAATATTTTAATACTTTGTAAACACATTTATATTTAATCATGTAATCATAATAGAATGACCTGAACATATTCTGATTGTCATGTAAAGTTAAAAGATTAATCATTTACTAAATGAGATGCCAACTATTTCTTTATATGTAATACAAACTCAAATTATTGAATGTGAAACAAAAAAATTAAGTATAGACATTTGATTGGAGTCAGATAATTCACTTTATTAAGATTTAAAACAATCACAGTGCAAAATTCTCTGAATGTGCAATTATGAAAATGTATAATTTAACTCAAGAATGTGTAAGAAGTGACATGGAAAACAATGTAGCTGCACAAGGTTTAAGTGTAACATTTACTTTGAGTAAAACAGTGACTATGGAAATAAGGCAGAACGATCATGTGATCTGGTCAGCTGGTCACACCATGACAATACTGTGACTCACAGGCGTCAAGGAGAAATGCCTAAGAACATAAGAACTGTGGCATGCTCACATTCTTCTGACATTATACTTTGAAAAGAAATACAAATGTGCACAATAGATTAGCTACAGTTTATCATGACCTAAAAACACATCTATTGTCTTTACATTTTATTCAGACCAAATCAAGATTATACAGGAGACAATTCCAAATGAACAGTGAATACAATTATATTTATTATTCCATATTTTAGTAAATTTTCCACATTGGAATGTACACTTTTGCTCCATTTTTGGCATCTATACATTTAAATCATCTTTCTGTCCGAGTGCTCATTAGCTCTCCCTGAGCGCTGGTGTCTGACCTCCAGGTGCTTGCTCTGGACGCGGTCAAAGTGCTGCAGCAGCTCGCTGTAGTCGATCAGAATCTGGGAGGCACGTCTCGAGGCCACCTGCTTTTTAGAATCCATGTATTTAGACTCGTCCACGGTGCGCATCAGCTCCGGGTTCGGGACGCACCTCAAGCGGTGGGACAGCAGCTGGAAGGCCTGGCTCTGAGGCAGCAGCATCAGCAGACCGTACAGCGCTTTGATCAGATACGGGTTATTCTCCACGTCCAACAGCTGAAGACGCAGGTATGTATAAATGGGGCTTTCTATGAGCTGCACGAGTTTATCGACCTCCATCAGAAAGTCTACGGTCACTTCCAGATCCCCGAACTTCTGAATGAGATCGTAGGCATGCTTGTAGTTTTGCGTGAGGAAGCAGAGCGACACGGTGGCGACGGGGTTGTGGCACCAGGATCGGTAAAGGCAGCAGAACAGTGCGCAGCTCTCGGTGGTGCGCAAGTCTTTGAGCTGATTCCTCAACTGGAAGAGCTCCGCAGACGTGAGCAGGATGGTGTTCAGAGTCTGGACCATGGTGGAAGCGAATTTGAGGTCTTCTTCTTTGAGCAGTATGTCGGCCATGGAATGAAAGATGTTCTCTGCGTGAAGCAACAAGCAGAGCTGCCTGATGATGAAGGCGCCTCTGTTCTCCAGCAGTTTTCTCTCCAAGCTGAAGCGTTTGAGCAGGTTGATCATGAACTTGTAGAAGTAAGAGTTCATGCTTGGAGTGGAGGGGGACGAATCCGTTGCTTTTGCGTGCGGCCCAGACTTATCAGGAACTTTCAACTCCAGTTTGAAGCTGGCGGCGTCACACGACCCGGTGAGATCGGTTTGCCCCGCGGGAGAAGACGCAATCTCGGCCAAAACTTCCAAATCTTTCAAAATGACCTCGTCGGATTCGTCTGAGAGGGTTTTGAGGAGCATGGGGAACAGGCTGTCGGTGTGGCGAAACATTTTGCGAGGCGTTTTAATGTAGAGGTGGTAAAGCCATTTTAAAACGGCTATTCGCGTCATCATGCCAGTGGAGGAGTCGTGGAGGTGGCGGTCGAGAACCTGGACGATACCATCCAGGTCGAGGGTCACCTGGGGCCGCTCTGTGCTCGCCGGGGTAAAGAAGCTAATGTTGCTGAAACCCACCGACTCCTGAGAGGCGTTTAACATGTCATTCCCATCCGACTGCACTTTCGGCTCCTCTCGAGTGGGCGAACCAGTGCCTTCACTTTTCACCTCCTCCTCTTCATCATCATCATCATCCTCAGGTGTCACAAGTTTCATCAGACTGTGGTTACAAGAGCTGGCAGCTTCTTTCGTGTTCTTCTTCCTGTCATCGTAGGAGAGACAAGGCAGTACCGCTGTCAAAATGCCAGAGGAGTACGGGAGCATTACCCGGCCTGCCAGCGTGATAAACTCTCTCATCCAGGTCATCGCAGTCAGCTGAATGAGGTCATTGGTCAGTTTACTTTCGTCCGCTACCTGGCAGTGAATGACGAGGATATTGGCCATTTCTGCATACTTCACAGTGGAGGGGTTCTTTTTAATCTCCTTCAGAAATTCCCCCAGCACCACCTCACACGTCCTGCGAATCTCTTTGCTGTTGTCTCCCAAAATCTGGAAGAGCCCATCCAGGATTTCAGGGAGGTAATCCAGAAGGTGAATGTCCGGCACACTCTCCAAAACATGAATCCAGGAGATGATGAATTGTCTCGCATATTGATTGTTGGAATAGATTCTTTCTCGGAGCAAGGGCACAAAAGCCACAAGATCAAACTTATTACTCTCAGTCACTATGTCTTTGAGCAGGCGGTCCAAGAGTTCTGATCCACTTTTCACGTTTGGATCAGGATCGGCTGCAAGTTTACTCAGACCGTCAAAGAGCAGGTTGAAATGAGGTAGTACAGCTCCCCGGGCCACTTTGACAATGTTATAAAGCGCTTCACATGCATAGTAACGCAGGCGGCTGTCTGAGTCATTGAAACACGTGAGTACAGGCTCTATCAACTCCTTCAGATACAGACCAGAGTCTTTCCCCAGGGCGATGGAGCAGGCTGCCAGTCCAATGAGCCCTCCTTTGCGGCTGTGCGGATGCTGGGAAAGCGCAAATTCTGAAGCCAAAATCTGTATGACATGTCTTATCTGCGTGGAATTATTCTGTGCAACAAACTCCCGCACCAGTTTCTCTATCTCCAAAGCAGCTACTTTCCTTTTCTCGTACAGCTTGTCATTGAGCGCTCTGACAATGTTTGGCGTCAAAGGGGAAAAGTCCTTCTCCGTGTTCATGTTGACAGCTCCGGTGTGGTGATGTGCAGAAAGAGCGGCTGCATTTACGAGCTACAGTTCAATGGAAACACGGCACTTGTGTCTTGTATTCTTGTATTAGCCAAAAAAGACAAACTTCCCGTAATCTAGCGCAGCTGACCGGATGCATCCGGCGGAAATACGTGAAGTTTGATTTATTTATGAGGATCAAAGTTGCCAGGTTCGTATCTTATGTTTTTTATTTGGTAAAAAAAAAAAATCAGAAAATAGTACAGAAATTATCAACACAAGGCGGGCATTCAGAATCTAATATGGTGAATTAATGCAATAATAAATACAGGAAGAGGATGTAATGAGGAGCAAGTCTTTGTAAACGGTGGCAATAAATAAGTAGTTTTTAAAATAATTTATTTTACTAAATGTGGAATTCATCAAGGAGGAGTTTGTTTGAGTGTGTAGAGAAAGATTTTATGAACTGTAATGTTTATGAAAATATGAGATTTTTGAGAAATATGCAATTCAATTTGATTCCACCAGATGGCGCCAACACCGATGAGTTTTGTCCATAGACTAACATATATGCCAATTCCGTGCAGTGTTAAGTGCTTGAAATGTGTTAGTGTCTCATTTTAGTAATGTTTTGGTGTTTTGTTTTTTTTAAAGATGAGTTGCCCAATAAAAAACAAACAAATAACACAAATCCGTCAATCACATGCATGAGTTTTATGGCCTGCAACATCTTAAGACATAAAACTGTAAAAAGAGAAAAACCACGCTCACTCAGCCAATCAACCATGTATTATTCATGAAACAAAAAAGTTAGGAACCCCGGCTTTAATTAATTTAGTTTCCTTGGTTGCTTGTTGCTCTCTACAGATCTGGCAACCCCGTTTGTTTGTAGCGTTCAGGTGATTTAGCATCTTTAGCACTTTGAGCACCACCAATGTGAGTGCTACAAGTGTGATATTTAAAAACAGGTCGTCTTCCACATGTAATAGTCTTTACCATAGACCGCTCTGCTTTTATCATGGCGATTCGTCTTCCAATTCACTCTCAGCTCTCCTCCATAATGGAGACCATGGCAAAAACTGTACTTAGTCAGGTCTGCAAACTCGTCGATGAAGACACCGCCGAGCTGCGCCTGGAGTATTCTCGGCTGCTCTTTGCTAATTCTGCTTTGTCCGAAAAAGTAAGCAGTTTACAATGTGAGTTGAGCAAAGTGAAAACAGTCGCTTTGAGCAAAAGTCAGAGGACTGTAGCGGTGCAAACGGACTGCAGCGACGAGGGAGGCGGGCACCGAGATGGTAGATCAATGTGTTTGGCGCATTACAATGTGGTTATTGGTTACTCCAACTTAAGTTTGTCTTTCTGTTTAGATATTAACCAACCGACTATTGAGAAGATTTTTGGTAAGGACTGGTGTGAAGATCTTTGGAAAGACAAGGACCCATCTGTGCTCGATAATGTGGCAGACTCGACCGACCAATGTGATAAGGTGAAAGCATTCGTTTGTTTCAGATGATAAGAAAGAATATTTAATATTCAAAACATGGTTATTTAACTGTTAATTGTCTAACACACTCATGATTGTAGATCTGATGCAACAACTGTTTTAATGGGTGAGAACATTGAAAAAACACAATGTAAGTATTTTTACAAAGTTCAATTGTTTTTTTTCTGAAAGACTTCAGATGATGTGAAAAAGGAAGACATCTCCGTAGCATCCAGCAGCCTCCAAACAAATCCACAAGCAGAAAAAGGTTAAATATAAAGTTTGAAAAAATTCAACCATCAGGGCATTTACAGTATTAGGCTTAAATGTGTGTTTCTGTGTGTATACCATAGATGAGGACACTAAGACTAACCATAGTTCAAATGGTTTGGAAGACAACCTCTTGCATTTGGAGGAATCCAAAGACACGGACGATGTTAGTACTTACACCATTCCCATTGAGGATGATGAGGAAGATGACGATGTACAGTTTGTTGATGAGAGTCAACAAGGACCAAGTCTAAGCGTTCCTACAAGTTCTGATGATGTGGAAGATCTGGACAACTATTCCCTGGATACACTTGAGGAATTTGACATGGTTGGAACGCTCATAGACTCAAATCAAGGCAATTTTCACTGTGAGATTTGTAACCGATCATTCTTCCATAAGGGCACGCTTACACACCACATGAAATCACACAAATCAAACTTCTGCAACATCTGTAAGCAGATGTTTCCTTCGGGACAGCTGGACACCCACGTCTGCGTTCCTCCTGTTGCTTCACACAAAGTCACCAAGTCATGTGAGCTGTGCGGTAAAGTATTCGCCAACCCCTCTGCCTTAAAGATCCACTATGTGGTCCACACTGGAGAGAAGCCCTACAGGTGCAACATTTGCGGCAAAGGGTTCACCCAGAAAGGGAATCTAAAGTGTCACGTACGCATTCACACTGGCGAGCGGCCTTTCCATTGTGCGTGGTGTGGAAAGACATTTACACAAAAAGTAAACCTTAATCACCACTTAATGTCTCACAGAAATCCAAACTCTCTAGAAGAAAGCAGCAATGATAACTTGCATATATGAGGGACCTCTTGATGAGAACGATCAGCTGTATATGAATGTATATTTTCTGTTTTAATCGAGGATAACGGCAAATTACTATGTAGCAGGATGTCCTGTCATTTTGTCATCTTGTACAAATGAAACAAGCCAATAAAACATTTTATATATTAACTTCAAAATGTTTATTTTTTTTGTCAAAACAAACTTATGGAGAATATACATATTTCAATTATAGGTTAGCATGCAGGATGAGTGTCAAACCTGCAGTTTACACATCAGAATGAATGACTGAAACCTGATGAGTATTATAGAAACCTGAATACAGTATTATTGACACTTAGTTGAAATGGAAAGAAACACTTCTACAAAAATATATGCATGGCTTGTTTGTGCATGCTTTAATAATGCTTAGTTGCTGTGAACTAAAAAAGGGTCAAGAAGATTATTAAAATAATCTGACCAGCTGCTACTTTAGGCTTAAGAATGAGGTATTGATTCTAGTTTGAGATGGAAGAGGTAGTTTATGCAAAATCTGTGCAAATGGGATATCTACCAAAATATTTACAGATAAATAGTACACACCTATTAAAGGCATACTGTGAATGGTTATAATGAGGTAATTACAGTAAAAAGTGTCATTTTGGCGTCTTGTCCTTCAACACAAGCCTAAACTATGGCCTGGAGTAGTAAACAGTTCATTTGGCATAAGTTTTCATTCCCACACGTTTTGTTTTGTTATTCACTAGTGTTTGAAAGCAGCATCCACCGTCTACCCCGTGTCTAGTTCTCATTGACTGGGTTTCACTGAGAGATCATAACCTTCAGGGTGTGAGTGAATACACTGATGGTGATTGAGTCCATACTTATAAGTATAACTTTTGCCACAGTCCACACAGCTGTACGGCCTCTCACCGGTGTGTGTGCGCAAATGAATGTTCAGAGAACTTTTCTGAGAGAAACTTTTGCCGCAGTCTGGACAGCTATACGGTCTCTCACCAGAGTGCACCCGCTGGTGCAGCTTCAGGTATGTTTTCTGAGCAAATCGTTTCCCACAAACAGTACAGTTAAATGGTTTTTCACCTGAGTGTCTTCTAATGTGTACTTTTAAACTGCTCAGATAATTAAATATCCTGCCACAAAACAAACACTCAAATCGTTTGGTGGGTTTGATGACTCTAGGTTGAAAGGGTTCATCTTTGCCTGTGTTCATGTCTATATTGTGATTGTAAGAAGACACTGTGGGAATATCATTAGAAGAAACGATAGTGTTAATCGTAGCTTCATCTATGAGGTGCTCTGTGGGCAGTGCTGCCTGAGTGCACGCCTGGCTTGTGCTGTGACTTTCAGTCATTAACTGAAAGTTATTGAGCTCAGATTGGAGCTGCTGCTCAACAGATCGGTGAAGCATGTTGTTCTCAAAAATCCCAGCACCTGTAAGGCCAGGAAATGAATGTTAAATGATTAAATAAGACAATAATAAAAACGGATCACGTTTCTTACCAGTGGGTGTTTCTGGCAGTGGCATGTGGTGTCCATGTCCAATGGGGTGATCATCATAGCTCTCTTCTTTGACAAAAATTAGCTCTGGATCGCTCTCAATCAAATCAATAGTCTACATAAAATAACACATTTCAGGGTTTTATATAAGATTTAAATACTATTCTATAAAATAAAAGACGCTTACTTGTGCCTGGAGACTTGTCATAGCAGCAGCGTCAACATTCCCCTTTTCTCGTGGCAAGGCTTTGTCATCTCTCCATAGTTCCATGCACCAGTCCTTTCCAAACACTCCTTCAATCTCTGGAGAATGGTGAGGCTGATCTGAATGATTACAGACGTTAAAGATGTGATTTGCTCAATCGTAACCAAACAGACGATCACATAATGGGTGAAATGAAACACAGTGGAACACGCATTGTGGCGAGTGAATGAGGGCCTGTCCACATTCGTCCATCCTGACCTGCGCTGTGGCGGTGTGCCAGACTGCTGCCATGCCCGGGGTAGGACTGAGCCTCTCTGGCCGCTCTCAGCTGCACCTCCAGCGAGTAGCACCGCTTCTTCAGAGCCTCATTCTCTGTCTTATGGAGGGAGATCTCGGTGTGAAGGACAGCGGAGCATTCGTCGGCGATATTGCTTATTTCCACCAGCGCTGCTTTGGTCAGCTTCTCCCAGATCATCGCCAGCTGAGTCCGAAAACCCCGGGTCCCGCTGTTACACATCATCATCTCAACAAAAAGACCGAATTAATGGAAGATTGCCTCAGCGACGACTAATCTAAATAAATAACCAGCCTCCAGTGCCGAAAGGGATTGTGGGGAAATTTGAGGTGCTATGACGGATTTGGCCAGAAGGGGGTGGTGTAGCCTCTTGTGACTGTGGCGTGGAAAGCTTATAATAGATCAATGATGAGGGAAAAACAGTGCTAATTTTAGTAAAGAGAGGTAAATGATCCAACATATTCTAGAACATGTCGGGCTGTACATTGTTTACGTTATTGATAATCAGTGTTGTCACAGATATGCAGTGTGGTCTAAAACTGTTTTTCGTTTCATGTCAAGTTGTGTAGTACAGTAGTGGTCACTGGCAGGCCCACTTTCAGCTTGGGTTAAATCTTGTTGTTTTGCCTGGATATTTATAATTTCTCATTAAAATGTCCGTTAAGATTGGAAATAAGGATGCATGGACAGCAAGTCTTCTAACTGTAGACACTGAAATCACGGAGAGAATGTTTTAAACAAAGAAATAACATCTGAGTTTTTAACATTCTGAGTGGAGTTTGCATGTTCTCCCCGTGTCAGCGTAGGTTTCCTCCGGGTACTCCGGTTTCCCCTACCACTAAAAATATGTATAATAGGATTGGCATGCGCCTCCTGTTCGGCGACCCCGCTCCCATCTCTGTGTGGAGTGAGAGGACAAGTGCCCAAAAATATCAATTGTAAACCGCTTTGTGACTCTGGTCTGTGAAAGGCGGTATATAAATAAAGATTACTTACTTACTTACTTACTATCTAGTGCAAGAAGCAGGTTAGAAACTTCAGAATAGACCTAAGTGAGTCACCACCAAGACAGTTGAGGAATGCACCTTTAAGTAAACATCATGTGAAATGTTATAAATGAGCGCCCAGATCATGTACATAAGCCATTGGTCTATTTATTTATGTCATGTCAACAAGCATAGAGGATTCTCAAGAGAGTCCTGGGTGAATCCATCAGCATACCCCGCTCCTTCTAACAAAGATGGCTTCCGTTGGCACATAGGACACAGTTTGTTGCGCACTTCAGAAGCTCTCATCCAAATTATGAGGTTCCAGCGTTGTCCAGAGGAAATGGGCAGAGCTCCGTGCATTTGTTGGCCCCTGTGCAGAAGGCCCTCAGTCACTCTGTGTTCAACCTCTGCACATTCAGACTCACTGAGGGGAACCTGCAGATGACAGCTATCATGTAAGAATGTAGTAGAAAATAATAACAGCCATAAATACTGTGTTGTTACCTGTTTCATGTTTCCAAAATAAAGGTTTCCCTCTGTGAAATCTTTACCCAGAGAAACATTGAGCGTTATTTCAGCATTGTCGTAATGATAACTCAAGTCGAGATCCTCGTTTATGTCATATTTAACTACAAAGGCTTTTTGGCTGTCCAGGCAGTGTCCTCCACAGTCTGGGTACAAGAGGGTGGTGATTGGACGCAGGTAAAGCTCACGGAGAGGACTGATGAATCCTGAGTCAAAACCAAGTTCATTCAGAAGGATCTATGTTGACACAATCACATTCAGATACAAGATAATACATTATTAATTCTCTTTAATAAAATGAGAGACAAATACCCCATAGTGATTCATCGTGTTGGGTCTTCCTTTAGGGGCTGCAGACTTCTCAAAGTGCTCCAGCTCCTGAAGCAGCTCTTCACAAAACTGTTTTTCGAATACAGGAAATCGATAAACCCTATGGCCTTTGATTTGAAAAACAGACACAAAAAATAGTTATTTCCAAAACGGTCCAATTGCATTTGTTTTGATCAATTGGTGTACAGTATATTGATGGTATATTTTGGCTTGATTTTTCTGTACCTGGCATTTCATCTAAAAGTTCCAACAGACCCTCTTCACAAGCACTGATGCCCCTGCAATACTCCACTATCTGCTTGAATCTTGGTGCAAGAAAAGACTCCTGTGAGACGTAGAGGAAGAATGTAACGCTTTGTACTATTCTACAAACAGTGCATGGATGATACCTGTAGGTGGTAGACATGAGGGTGCAGAGGTCGGTAAATGTCTCTTATAGCAGCAGTTCGTTCAGCAGATGTAATATCCAAACACTTTCGTCTGTCCACTTCTTGCTGGATCTTAAAGAATTGATTGATTAAAGAAGTCTATGTCTATGTCGATTTGAAAATATCCGTTTTGGGGCAGTTAGAGTATGTACCGTAATGTATAGTTGTCTAGACCAGTTGTTCTCAATTCTAACCATGTCAGAACCCAACATCAAATTACAATGCCACACTGCAACCCTAAAAAGACTAAATTGTAGATTTAGCCAAATAATTCTTTTATACACATTAAATAATACTACAAAGCCCTTTTTCCCTTTTTTAAAACATTTTATTTCTTCTTTTGTGCATGTGAAGCACTTTGGGAAGCTGGTGTTGTTGTAAATGTGCTATACTAATAAAACTCATGTTGACAACGACAACACACTCCATATTCAAGGAAATCTTAAAAGAAGTACATTTTGAGTTAGGTTAATCTGCTAATTTGGTGAGTTTTACTTTTTATTTCAGGTAAATATATCTTTCTTTAATACACTAGATACTCTGATACTATCTAGATATAGTGTATACATAAATGTTGACATGTACGCATGTATGTTGGACATATATGTACGCAAATATGTCGACATATCTGTGGTATATATGTTGCCTACCCAATCACCAACGTCACCGATAGGACAGTCTGTATCCTATTATACTAGTTGTTCTCACAAGTTGAGAACTAGTCTAGTGTCTATAAAGCATCTCAATTATTTTCTGCAGAATTTGATAAACAAAAACAATTTAATTGGATAAAGAAAAGGCCATTAAGGACATGTAGACTGAGTGTACCAGCAACTTAAACAGTAAATGAGTTCTGAGGATTGCAGAGGGCATGGTTTGTACTCAATGCATTTCATCATCCAATTATTCTCATTTGTTGTTATAAATCAATTATTCACGTTCAACCCTACAGCAAATTACAAGTTATTCAGATGAAGTACCTTGACAAGGATTTCTTCAAACTGCTGTTCTGTCACACAACCCAAGCTTCTGAGGACCTATTCCACAAATATAAAGTTAAAAGTGTTTTGGTCATGCTAAAAGCAGATAGTTAAAGGCACACCGTGTAACTCTTGGCCACTAGGGGCGCTAGACCTGCAACTTTCACGTTTAGCGCCCCTAGTGGCCACAAGCAACTCAGCACTGTCGCAAAAGTCAACAAACAGTCAGCCGGTGTCTTTTGAGTGTGTATTCAGACAGCATGCACTGGTGTGTGTGTTCAAACTGTAGAGACATGCCTACAGATATTGAGAGACTCTGCTGTGGTCAGCCTCCAGACCGCTGCATTAGTAATCTACCACACATGGACTTCTATATCCTGGATGAGGGAGTTCTGCGTCTAGCTCGTGCTGCGTGGAATGACATCTTTGCAGTCGATGACATCCAGGAACCAGGTGAACAGCAGCGCTCATACAGACATGCAGCTTACAGCACGATCCCTTTCGCGTTTCCTCTTTTTAGCCTCCTCCGAAGGTTTAAAATTTTTCCTTGCCTCAGCCATGACCAGGAGTCGAGCAGGTGAAAAATGAGTAGCAAAAGCCTTAGCTCCATGAGTATATCAGCGCCTGTAGCCGTAAAGCAAGTCTTTCTTCCAAGTCACGTGACCTGGTGGCAGACGGTCCGTCTGCTCGAAACTTACATGGGCGGTATTTCAAGAGGGCAGCCCCGCTCGGAGCATTGCAAGTGTCAAGCGCTGTATATTGGCCCAAGTATTCATATAAAATAACTCATATGTGTCAACTCTTTAGGTCACAAAGTCCGCGGTGTGCCTTTAAGTAATAGCAGAAAACACATTTAATCTGTAATCAACAGAGGCCATAACATACAAATGAATCAATACCATAATCTCAATATTAGGTTTCTTAATCATAAAAAGCTGGTTACTTACAGGAGTATAGTCCAGCCTGAACTGCTGCTCTGACACGAAGCGAACATGGAGCTTGTATTTGTCCAGAAAAATATTATCAGTAGTAAAACACGAACAATAACAAAAGGTCCTCTGCTTCTCTTCACTTGTCATTACTGTAGTTTACGATAAAAACGAGACGAAAATAGAGTACAACGTTTACACACATAATGCAGGTTTGTTTATAAACTACACTTCCTGTTTGGGCTTTTCAAAATAAATGCACAAATAACTTTATAGATACTGGAATGCATTCTTTTCTTGATTTATTTAATTAAAATATTGAATTACCCATAATTATAGTGTTGTTTAATAATGCAAGTTGATTATATTCATTGTTTGGCTTTCTTTCTTTCAGTATCACTTTTATTTTGCAGAACGGCCCGGGCCAAAAACTTCATTGCACTGCCACCTGCCGGCCAGGTTTCAGTGGTGCCATTTCGTTACTTGTATACAAAAAAAAAAAAAAAACGCTGGAGAAAAATAAACGGGCACATTTTATTTACATTATTATACAAACAAAAATAAAGTAAAATAAAGTAGTATGTTGACACACAGTCTACGCATACACACTAGATATACAGTATGAATGCACATACTGTAGGTTAGGGTTAGGTATCAAGAAAAAGACTACAGGTGAGCTTCATATCTACAATCTACTGATAAAAACAAATGCAAATAACTAACAAATCGTAAGAATGGTAGCTTTAAGTCATTCTATTGATAAAAGTACCAGTGAATGTCGGAGCTGAATCACTGCTATAAATGTGTAATGAAGCATCTAAATGAACGGCAAGGTGTTTTTTCAGATTACAGTTTTTGGTAAATCCTTTTCCACATTTGATACAAATAAAAGGCTTTTCGCCCGTGTGTGTGCGCTGGTGCATGTCCAAGGTGCACTTCTGTATGAACCCTTTTGCACAGATGGGGCACCTATATGGCTTCTCCCCTGTGTGTGTGCGCTGGTGGGTGTACAAGTGGCCTTTTTGAGCATACTTTTTACCACAAAGCGTACACCTAAATGGTTTCTCCCCCGTATGACTCCTTTGGTGTATTTCGAGCTGACTGAAACATCTAAAGCTCTTTCCGCATTGCAAACAGCCAAACTTTTTGGTGGAGGAGTTTCTTAAGGTGTGGATCTTTACATTCCTACCCAAGTTATTGACAAAAGAGGCTGTATTTTGACTCAAAGGGTTTTCATTTTCCAGGTTGGTGCAAGCAGAGGGTAGCTGTACATTCCACAGACTTTCACTTCCAACTTGAGGCGACTGGGTATTTGTGTTGTTAAAGTTGTCAGTGAAGAGGGATGGATTACTATCTGCAACTTGTCTGACAGGTGGGGGGCACAGATCGACCTCAGACTTCACTGGTGCAATCACAACCACAGGATTCACTAAACAAATGAGATAGTGTTGTTGATAATAATAATAATAATAATAATAATAATGTCAATGTTCAAAATTGGCAGGGCAACAATTCAAGGATTGTGCAACTTACCGCTTTCACATTTGCTTCTATTATCAAAGACTCCACACTGCTCCTCTAACGGCTCCTCCTTGATAACAATTTCAGGCTCCAGCACTGCATTTTCAATCTGTCAGGAATATAATCATTTACAGTACATGCATTAGAGAACAGTTTTGAAATACGTATTCATATTCATTTGCAAACATATATACATACATACAGATACACAAGACAATAGAAGAAATAGTGCTTATTTACAGATGTGAGGACAACATCAGGTATGAGATGAAGGGATTAAAACAAGTTTCAAATAAACAGACAAATATAAAAAATAAAAATAAAATTGTAAGGGGGGAGGACGGGGACAGTTCATATTGCATCCACTGCCAAGAGACAACAAAAACCATACCAACAAGTGGTGAGAATAATAATAATAATAATAATGAAATCATTATAGAACAATTATAAACAATAATAACACTTACAGACTGGGCAGGCTCAACCCTTTGTTGTTGGTTGGTGTCTTCAGTGGTGGAAGAGGTGATGGCATCTCTTGGACTCTCCCCAGGATGTTGTGAACTATGCATACAAACAAACAAATGCATAATTGCAAGAAACCTATAAACTATAAACTAACCCGGCCACTGTGTTGGTCTGAATTGTGTGAGTAGAGCCTATTCATGCATAATAATACAGTAATACCTGTTTATGGCTGGTTGAGTTGTCCTGTCAGGCTGCAGTACAAGTCCCCTGTCCCTCACCATTGCAACTGCTGTAAAGTCCTGTCTATTCCCTTGCATGTAAAGCAGCTTCTCCATCAGCTGCAGTTTCTCTGTGAGTGAAGAGATTTCATTTCGTCCGCGGTTTATTTCTATTTTAAGCATCTTCGACTCGATCTCCACCAGTTTGCTTATTTCCAACACTACAGTTTTGGATAACGCGTCCATGATTGAGGAAAGCTGATTCTGAAAAGAGAAAACCGTCGACATTATTACGTGCTAAAGGGCTTCAAAAAACAGCCGATGCCTCTACTAAAGACAGGAGCGCTAATAAAAGCTGAGATTTAGCAGCAATGTTCAGAATTTCTGCAATATGAGCCTCCAAATGTTTTTAACCCGCGGCTTCCACATGTCGGTCGGGAGGCTGTAATGCAGTGTGCGTGATAGTAATACAGTTTGACGTTTATAAACAACATCATAACTCGTAAATTATTTTTTTTATGACTGATATGTTGAATAATACGCAAATTAAGTTGTAATTCATGAGAACAAAAAAGCACGTTTGTGATTGGTTGGACAGTTCTCGTATCAGGAAGTGGCAGCGGGATTATGTTAGCTGCATGGATCAGTAGTTAGCTGGCCACATTACTGTCATCTCCATTGAAATCAGTGTGAAACCCCCGAAACCAAGAGGTAATTTTATGTTGTTATGTGTATTCAGTACTTATTTTGAACGGTATCTGTACGATGTGTTTGTTATTCATGACTTATGATCCTCTAAAATGAGACAAACAGAGGTAAAAGTTGAATGTAGAGATATGGAAATCATACCAATACTTATTCTGCGCACCTGATTTTCAGATTTGATATATTTCTGATTGTCCATAGAGGGAGATATTGCTCAACAAATATTTTGTGCTTTCGATTGAATGTATGTCCCATGGATGTATTTTTGTTGGCCTCTGTCACATATTTAGATTAAGACTAAATAACTTTCATACAGAAAAGTAAAAGAGATGGCCGATCAACTCTCATCATCCATTGCTGTGTCACGGGGCAGCAGTCTTGGAGCAGGGCTGGACTGGGACAAAAAAACGGCCCGGGCATTTTTTCCTTCTTACCGGCCCAGGCATGTTTTTTTCACGTTTTTTACAGTTTGTTTACCAGGGATCGGCAACTCAAAAGGTTCAAAGAGCCATATTTGACAAAAAAAACTAAAAACATCTGTCCGGAGCCGCAAAAAAATAACAGCCTTGTATAAAGCTTATATGAAGGTTACACATTAGCCTAATATCTAAATGACCAAGTAAAGGCTACAAATACATAATAAGCATTCATGATTGTCAAATGTGTGTTTTCACTGCAGCGTGTCATGGAGAGAATGACGCACCACGTGATGACTCTGCTTTAACTTTGACTTCCATTTTTTTGAATTCATGCAACTGTAGAAATACAGTAAATAAATCTGCTTTTTGGCTCAAAGGTCACACACCTGCACTGTCCGCTCATATCGATTACGTCACAGGCTGAAGTTTGCTGGAGCTGAATGTCCTTAATGGCCTTTTCTTTCACAGTCTTTGCGGAGGTTTTTGAAGTCTGAAAAAAGTGCTCCGGATTTTGTATGAAAGAATCCTTCACGTAATCCCTGTGAACGGTATTTAGTGCTTCATTGTTCCTCGTGTTGCAACAAAACTTCCTATTACATCGCAAACATGAAGCAGTCTTTCCTCATTGAATAAAAGCAAATGTTCAGTCTTGTCCTTAGTCCAGTCTTATTATCGACTCTTTCTCTTTTTATCTTTGGGATCCGTGCGCACACGCCAGTTTGTTTACAGCAGCGGCCGCCTGGCGCGGGGCTGCGTCACAGGATATGACGCACTACGTTGACAGAAATGTTGAAATTGAATATTACTTATACACATTTTTACAGCATTGAAATACGTTAGGAATGTTTTTCTTCCTACAGAAACCACATTCAAACTAGAAATAAAATATAGCCCTCCCACTCCATTTTCAGACATTTTTGAAAAGGCTCCAGGAGCCACTGGAGGAGCACTCAAGGTTGCCGACCCCTGGTTTATACAGTATGTGGAAGCATACTCTAGAGGATCAGGATGTCTACAGTTTCAACAAAAAAATAAAGTGCAATAGTCTACATTACAAGAGAGTAATAAACATGTCTCAGAGTGAGGGAGGTGGACACAGACATGAGAATTGGTCAAAAAAGTCTGAAATGCATAATGTCAGCCATTTGCTGGCTCTAAATCTGTTTAATTTGTTCACAACATTTTACTTTTGGGCTCAAACATGAACTTTTAATGCAATGCAAAATTTAGGTACCCGAGCTTTAATTTAGTCGCACTTCGAGAGGAGAGGGGAGACGCGGAATGTTTCCTGCAGCGGTGTATTTATTGGGTGCACAAATTACGCAAAGACACGCATGGTCCTGTGCACGTTTATGGTCTTGGGTATAATGGTCACGTTGCGGCTACGCGCTCACCGTGTTGTGTTGTGAGCGGTTCCCGGTGAGCGGTTCCTGCGTCCAGCTCAGAGCCGCTGGATGCGGGAACACTGTGGCCGCTGAGGTGGTAGAATCCCGTTCCAGTACATACAGCAGGTGCCCCGCGGACACGCGCGCCCCCTCGAACAGTTCTCAACGGATTTACACTTTTCACAAACATCTTTTTTGTATGAGGCAGACAGACCGGCCCAAATATGGGCATCGGCCCTTCTGGCATTGCCCGGTACGCCCGATGGCCAGTCCAGCCCTGTCTTGGAGGCTTCCTGATCCATGCACATTTCCTCCAGTTCATCCGGTGGAATCTTGGGGCTTTCCCTGCCCAGCGTGTCCTGGGTCTTCTCTGTAACAGACATCTTGGAGGCATCTGAATCAGAAGCTTATAGATCCATGATCAGAAGCCCTAACCGGCTCTACTACAAGCTCCTTCCGGTCATTACCTAAAGCTCATGACCATAGGTGAGGGTGGGAATGTAGATTGACCTGTAAATCAAACTGTTCTATTCTCCCTCTCCACCAAAATACTGCAATCAATCTCATTCAATCTCACTCTCCTTCAGCTTTAAGATGAAATATATTGGTTGCACACTGCCTGTGTTGTCACCTTCTCTGTGGAAACAATTCTGTTGCTTCATAATCTCTTCTCTTTATCCAGTCACAGTCATAATGGCAGGCTGCAGAAGAGTGGTGGCATTCCCGTCTGCTGCAGAGCTTGGGCCATCACTGGCCAGCCTGGTCACATCTCGGGCAGAGAAGGCCATCAGCTCCCGTGGCAGATTCACCTTGGGTCTGTCAGGTGGAAGCCTTGTGTCCACTCTGAGTAAAGAGCTTCTTGCTCTACCACAGCTGGACTGCAGCAAGTGGGTTTTTGCCTTTTGTGATGAGAGGCTTGTTTCCTTTGATGATCCAGAGAGCACCTATGGGCTCTATAAGGTGGGTTGGAACTGGATTTACATTGACATATTTAAAATGTGTAAAAAAAAAAAAATGCCTTTGTTGTTTCAGAAAAACTTATTTTCTAAGGTCAACGTTCCTGACAGTGGCATCCTATCAATAGACCCATCTCTAGCTGTGGCCGAGTGTGCTGAGGATTACTGCAGGAAACTTGTACATGTAAGAGGAAAACAATAAGTACAAATACACCATTTTTATTTTGTAGGAATAAAATGTCATTATTGTTTGTTTAATGAATCCTAAAGGCATTCCCCGGAGAGACCATTCCAGTGTTTGACTTATTACTGCTTGGAATGGGGCCTGATGGACACACATGCTCGCTCTTCCCAGGCCACCCTCTACTAGAGGTAAAGGGAAAATACTGTTTATGATGTAATTGACAGAAATTAAACCCTTGAGTTTATTGGTTCATTAACAGGCTATATCATATCTGTTTGATGCCTGATATTTTTTCTCAACATTCTTAAAAGATTTATTTCATGCTGTAATTTTGGTTCACACCATTCACACATTTAGTTTTGTCTTTGCAACCTTCTCTTCCCACCGTTTTTATTTTATTTTTATTTCCATAAACCTAGCTAGTTTTGGTCTTGTGGTTCGAGTCTATAAACGCATCACACATGCTGGAAGACAGGGCCTCTCAAATTAGCAAACATATCTGTACATTTCTAGTAATAAAACACTGGAACATGGTCATTTCAGAGTAAGAATATGAAACATGTTATCCAGCCATAGATTTGACTGTGACCTACTAATCAGGGCCAAGTGGGAGTTAGGATTTATCTTTGATGTGGTCCCTCGTCCCTTATATTACACATGTATATGTTCTGTACACAGTGGGACACTCCTTCTGATACATGTAGATTTGTACAGACCCTGGCCAGCGCATGTTGAATCTTGTGGTTGTTAAATGCAATTGCTTGTTACACATCTTTGACGACTCTCATGGTATACAGTTTCAGTGCAGTTTATGTGGTTCTCTCACATTTCGTAACTGTACTCATTAAAAGTGATAGATGATGATGTCTGGTTTCATCTTATTTTAGGAAACAGAAAAGATTGTGGCCCCCATCAGCGACTCTCCCAAACCACCACCACAGCGAGTAACTATGACCTTTCCCACCGTGAACGCGGCTCGCTGTGTGGCTTTTGTGTCCACAGGAGGAAGCAAAGCACCCATTTTAAAGGTAAGTGTGAATTTCAAGCGGTTTTTTTATGCCTGTCATTACACTTTCTCTCAGCCGTACAAGGGAAAAGAACTTTTCATTTAAGCATTAAAGTTTGTTACAGTTGCCGTGTTCTTTCAGGAAGTGCTGGAGGGCGGAGAAGGTCCAGCGCTGCCGGCAGCTCGTGTCGCCCCACAGAACGGGGAGCTGTTCTGGCTTGTCGATGACCCTGCTGCAGCCTCCTTAACATTACATGTGGAAAGACCGGGTTCAGGCGCCAAACTATAGATCTAGTTACAGAACATCAGTGACTATAGAAACCTGTGGACATTCCTATTGTGTAAAATAAGACAAACATGAACGTAAGAAATTCTGACTTTTTTAAGTTGTTAATATTAAAAGTATTCAATGTATTTACTTTTGGGTCTCATCTTTACTATTAGAAACGGGTGCAGCCTGGTGGTTTAATGATTTAAGCTGGGGTACGTAACTTTCAAAATAATTGTTTTAACCATAAATGAGTAAGGAAAAATTCGAGGAACTCTTGACATTGAAATAAAAATGCTGATGTTGATACTAAGCGTTTCGGCCACACGTAGCATCCCTGTACATTATAGGATTTTTATTTCAATGTCTTTATTATTTCAAAGAGTGCCTTGGATTTTTCTGCATCTCTTTTAAGTTTCTTGTGTTTTTGACACTGCTGACATAGTCAGAACCACTGCAGCACTCATCTCTCATGAACTATTCTTTAACCATCTCTCAAAACAGTTTTGATTCTATACAAAAAAGAGAAAAACTGGTATTTTTGGCCTCTGCCACATATTTAGATGGACCAGCCTCACTCAGCCAATTGGCACTCCGCTCAAACATCAAATAGTGAATAAAAGAGGTCTCTCTTACAAACATTCAAAATATTGTCTAAAAAGTTTGAGTCTGTATGTTGTGGTATTATTTGTTGGGAAAAACAACATAGATTAGTTACCTCAGCTTTAATGTAGCAGCCTCAGCATGGATTGATTTCCAGAGCCGGATCAAGGCTTGTTGGGGCACTAAGCAAAAGTCTGCTTGGTGGCCCCTCCAGCACATATGTATGTATACATACACACACACAAACACACCCTCTTACATCACCCTAAATATAAATAGATTAACTGTCCTTTTACTGTGGATTAGAAGATCAGGGTTAGGATTATTGAGAGACACACTTGCAGCCACACCAATGACAAGGCAGTTGACATCAAGGGACAAGCAGGAAAACCTGGAGCTAAAGGGATCAGAACTTCAACAAACAAAGCTGGTCATCTACTTGTCTCTGGAATCTATGGTAGGACAATACTCCCTAATATTACACAGAATATAGTGATTTAATGTGTTGCTCATTTATTGCTATATTTACCGGTTAAATATATAGCAGATGGAATCTCTTGCTAGCTTCATTGGTTGTTTTTATTTTGCCAAGCCATTTCCCAGCTCAGACAACACCTCAATATCTCCATTGAGAATTGAATGTTTCCAATCCTCCCATTGCATATGAACTTGACTTAAGTTTCTCTGTGTGCAGGCCATGAGCAGTGACCAGTGTGACTCAGTTTTTCTGAGTGTGGATTCTTTGCTGAATGACGCTCTGCAAATGCAAAGGCAGTGCAGAGATCGCAGTGATCAGCTGTCACAAAAGGCCATAGAGCTGCAGAACGAATCAGCGACGCTCAGAGAAACCAGTGAGAATGCCCAACTCGACATGGCTCACATCCGGCATCAACTGGCCGAGCTCATGGAGACTAAATCTAAATTTGAGGCCCGCGAGAGGCAAGCCCAAAAACTCAGAAAACATCTGTAGGCTAAATGAATTGTAAGTGTCTTCAAAACAAATTTAGTTTTAGGTTGAGTATGAATGTCAATAATATCTCATGTTTTGTGGCTTCCTTGTTTTGGCAATCCAGACTGTCATCCTTGGATATCCCTATAATCAACATGGCTTTCTTTCTCATCATTTGTCGAATCTAATATGTGAAAGTGGCTGTGAGACAGACCCCAGGACAAACTTCTCTTCATCATGGACAGTCCACAACCATTCCACCAGACGAAGAGGAGCAGTGGAATTTGTACAAAATGTTCTTCAAACAGCGAACCATACATATGTGACTGTATCTTATAATACTTGTATAATAAAATGCACTTTAACTCACCCTTATGTCATATACAACTGTACAAATTTCAGTATTATCATAGGTAATGTAACAGTTCATCTCCTTTTGAAAGTTGATGTCTTACTTTTTTTTTTTTTTTTTACGCCGACCCACCCATACTTCGAATTTTGTTTTGAGAGGCAAGCCCATTCCCCATTGGTCTACCTATTCTCCCCAAGCACGTACTGGTGACGGTTATGCTATCACCAGGCCTTTGTAAATAAATCTTTTTCCTAACTAATCATTATATTACGGACCAGGTGATAAAATATTTGCATTCTTTGAAATACATTTGAAGTCACATTTAAACGGCTATGTGACCACTAATTCTTTTTTTATTAAAGCTGGGGTACCTACATTTCAAACCACATTAAACTAGCAAAGTAAGTTAAATCTAACTAGTTTCTCACTCTCAAAATAGATTGGTTCTATCACTATTTGTAATATTTACATCAACATTTTACTTTACCAAGACTCTTTCTGTTGAGACAATGTTTTTATTATTTTTTTTATGGAACAAAAAGTTAAGTAACCCAGCTTTAATGTCACCCCCATTTCCCTACACACTGCCCCATACAATTTAACAAAATCCTCATAAATACAATGAAACGTTTTCTCTGTTATTACTTCCCTGCACCTAAAATAACCTATTTCTACACCTACATTATCTGCTCATCCGAATGATAAAATAAATAATTATCATTACGCACGGTCGGCCCCTTTAACCAGAGACCGCCCCGTCGGCTCCAGTGCGCGCTGTTGTCACTTCTTCAGGCGGTGCGGCGGAGGCTTTATGACCGATGACCGCGCTGTGTGAAGCGTGGTAAGTTTAGCGTGTCCCGTTCAGTCACGGAGCACTGGTTTTGGTATTTATTTTGGCTATGCACGCTCTCGCCCGCCTGCTTTTGGCCCTGTCATGCTGCGCTCCCTCCACTGGATACTTCTCCGAGGAGCGCTGGAGCCCCGAGTCTCGGCTGCTGGCTCCCCGGGTCCTAGTCGCCCTCATCTGCAGGAATTCCGAGCACTCTCTTCCATATTTCCTCGGTACAATTGAGCGCCTGAACTATCCCAAGGACAGAATGGCATTGTGGTGAGTTCTTATACAATCCTAGGTCTATGCATGCACTAGAATAAGCACTGCGCGTATCCGGAATAGAGAAGTAGTAGTAGTAACACAATCTGCATATATTTGACTTCTTCCAAAAGTGAGGGGAAGGGGACAGACAGAAGTGAGTAGTGTCTTCGCCTGTATACGTGGAGGGGAGGGTCTGTCTCGTCTGTGCGTGTGCGTGTGTGTGTGGATGGACTTACATTAGAAACATTAACAAATTTCGGATCATGTCTGAACAAGTCACAAAATCTCCTTCATCCCATCCCATTCCTGCAAGTAGCATGTGTAGTGATGAGACTTAAGTTGGGTGTTGACTTTTGAGGATTTTTTTTTTTGCACCTACGTTTACGACTAATGTGTTGCACTAATACATTTATACCAGGATTTATGATGCACTTTCTTTATATTACCACAACTGGTCTATAAATATGAATGCATTCAATTGAGTGGGTAAAAGTCATGTGAGTCCTATTTCAAAGATTTTTTTTAGTTTTTGTTCTCAACTTGATGTAGATTTTTTTTTTTACTAGGAATAATTAAAGCTGAGGTACTTAACTTGCGTCATAAATAAAAAATAAAAAATAAAGTATTACCATATACTGAATGTCTGTGAATGTCCTAAGAGAAAGAGTCCAATCAGGCAACAACATATTGTCTTCATCTCATTAGAAAACACCATCTTTTGTATGAAAAGAGCCCTGGAAGTGACTATTTGACTCTTTGGGCTGAGAGCTGTTGGACTGAGGATGGGTGGTCCTCTCCTTTCCATGTTTATGCCTGAATAAACAAATGTAAAGATGTGACAGAGACCAAAAAGTAGAATCAAACTGTTTTGAGTGTGAGAAACTAGTTTGATCTAATATATTAGGTTTCGCATCTGGTTTTAAGTTCGATAATATATGATAAACTTGATGCACTTTATTTACCGCAGCTTTAAACGCAGCACAACACTGAATTTTGCTGCAGCCTTTCTTGTAACGTCGCCAAATGCTGGATCCAGAAAGGGACAGACTGTCACTTAAATCTTTTTACAGTTGCAATTACGCATCTCTGCAGCTCTAATGGAAGAGGCATATGCTGATTAAGTTGAGCATATACTCAGCAAATCCACACAGATCCAGCCAAAGTAAAGTGTTCTGTAATATTTATGTGAGATCAACACTGTGGCGATTGTGTGTGGTTTTGTGGTCAAATGCTGAGACCACCGTTTCCTCGCATAGCTACGTGAAATGTTGGACTACACTTTGACCTGGCTGAATTCCACCTGGAGAAAGCATAGACATTTTTCACTATTTGCTTTGTAGCATTAATTTTAAGATCGCGCAAATCTCTGTGAGTCACATCTTTACTATGAGAAACGAGCACAGCCTGGTAGTTGAACGATTTAAAACTAGGGCGCCTTACTTTCAAACTGTTCTTTTTAACCATGTAATAACATCCTTTATAACTAGTTCCTCGCTCTCAATGTGTCCCATGCCTGTATTTTTGGCTTCTGTCACATCTTTTGATCTGAATTCTTAGACAAAAAGGTGAAAAAGAGAAGACCAACCTCACTCAGCCAATCAGATTTCAGCCCGATAGTGACTCAATGGGCTCTTACTTGCTAGTATGCAAAAAATATCTAATAAGATGAAGACATTACGCTGTGGTCCGATTTTTTTTTTTCCCCACAAAAGCTTAATGTTGGTAAAGACAACATGGATTATTGATGAAAAATATAATTGGGTACCTCATCTTTAATGTAGCAGCCTTTGCACTGATTTACACGTTCCTCCTTTTTATGCAGCAGAGTATCATTATTGCCTGTGCCAGTTCCCAAAGCCAAAGAATGGCTTGTGAAGTGTACACCCACAAACAGAGCTTTTGTTGTTTCGGTGGCTGTATCATGTTTTAACTTTGCCTGAACTCACTCCTCATTCCCTTTGCAAGTTTTTCCTACAATATTGTTGATTGCTGAGCCTGCACATGTCATTCATCTGTGAATAGTAAATACTGTAATCCTGTGCGATGTGCAAGACTGCAATTTCAGAATGTCCACTGAATGACACTTTATTTTTATCCTGCCCTATATATAGAACTTTGCACTATAGATAGATGGATTAGAGATATTTACAGCTAGCTAAGAAACATAGCAGCTACTTATTTTGTGTGCTCCCTGTGTGCTCTTGCTTCTGTCCAGTATGTGCGCTGCAACATTGAAAATCCCCCACTGTGGGACGAATAAAGGTTCTCTTATCTTATCTTATTTTTTCTTATTCTTTTCAGGGTTGCCACGGACCACAACGAAGACAACACCACAGATATTCTACGGGAATGGCTCACCAAAGTTCAAAACCTATATCATTATGTTGAATGGAGGCCAAAAGAAGAACCCCAGTCAGTGCTTGTTTCTACTATCGTTTCGGTTGTGTAATTTCTTTGACGATAAAATGACAAAATATCGCTGTATTTGCAGATTTTATGACGATGAAGACGATGGGCCGAAGCAGTGGACAAACCAGCGGTACGAACATGTGATGAAGCTTCGACAGGTGGCTCTGGAGTCGGCTCGGGAGATGTGGGCGGACTACTTTATGGTGAGGAGATGCTGTTTTTTGACAGAAACGATGACATTAACAACTTCATCATGTTTTGAACTGTATAATCATAATAAATTGGGCTTTAAGAGGAACCGCAATCAATTTGACAGGTTGCAATTATAGTGTATCGCAAAGGCTGCAATTATTGAAATGCTTGGAAAAAAAATCGAGTTTTAAAACTGCTCACCCTCAAATGTTTATACTCATTAGAAAAAGTATCCATGCTGAACACAAACAGGACAAAATGTGAGATTCTTTGAGCAGTTTTTGAATTATTTGAGCTCAGAATAAAACCATATGGCACCATTTTAAGAGTACCATACATACAAATGCGGCTAATTGTCCAAATTGTAATTAATTATTGCAAAATGTGTCTCTATTAGTATCAGAATTGAGTTTACAATTTTAATATGCTAGGCTAAACTCCTTCATTTTTTGTTAGTCCAAGAGACAAGCCAAAACTAGAATTAAAGTAAGAGAAAAGGAAAATGATTTAACTGTAGATATTTTAAACATTCAAAATATATTATTCTGTAACGGTTTGTCTCTTAGTGACTGTGTGTAAAATGTTACTGTTTAGAAATAAAATAGTAAATCATCATAAACAACAAACATACAAACATTTCCACATGTCATTGATATTTGCAGCTGGTGGACTGTGACAACCTCCTCATTAATCCGGATATATTGTGGAAGCTTATGAAGGAGAATAAGACCATAGTCGCCCCGATGCTTGAGTCTCGAGCAGCGTACTCAAACTTCTGGTGTGGCATGACCTCACAGGTAATCACTGCTGTTACTTTCCCCAGTCTTTCTGCTTGCTGGGACATTACATTTAGCTCAACTGTGTTCCCAGGGTTATTACAAACGCACCCCGGCTTACCTGCCCATGAGAAAGCAGATACGAAAGGGCTGTTTTGCTGTGCCAATGGTTCACTCTACGTTTTTAATCGACTTGAGGAAAGAGGCTTCTAGACAATTGGCCTTCCATCCACCACACCCAGAATACAGCTGGGCTTTTGATGACATCATTGTATTTGCCTATTCAGCTCGAATGGCAGGTGCGTTCCCAGTATAATTCCAGTCTATTATACTGTTGCGTTAGGGAATCTATTCAAAATGTGTGTTTTCTTCATTTAGATATTCAAATGTTTGTATGTAACAAAGAAACGTACGGTTACTTTCCTGTGCCTCTGCGGTCCCACAATACTCTGGAAGATGAAGCTGATAGTTTCCTTCATACTCTTCTGGAAGTGAATGGTAAGGATCTCAGCTGAAATGCAATTATACGCTGCTTATTTATACACATTATATTAGGACCATTTGGTTTGTGAACCTTCTGTCATGTGGAGAGGTGATGGAGGACTCAAATGCAGGAATACAAAAAATAATGATTTAATTAATAAAATAAAGTCCAAGGTAAAAAACAGAACTTCAAACAGACGTTGACAATACAATGGACTAGCAACAAGGGGAGAGAAGCACCGGGTACATATAGACACAGAAACAGGTGAAACACATCAGGGCGGGGCAGACAATGAAGACTGGGGAACAAGACAGGAAGCAACTAAAACCAAACCACAGAAAACCAATTTCAAAATAAAATAAAAATACAAAAATAAAATCCACACCATGACACATTCTTTCTCATAGATAATTGATTAGATTCACAAATGAGATTCCTTGAAATCTAGAATTCTCTTTGGCCCATTCTACTGTCTACTGCAATTCCCGAATACCCCAGCAGCACTGTTGTAGATGCCCACTCAATCATTTCCCAATTTATGAATCAATCTTTAACGAAATAGTGCTCTTGTCCATTCCTGCGTAGTTATAAAATGTGGAGAAAATGAACATTTCAATTGAAGACTTTACAACGTGGTTATAAACTGTAAACACCGACATTGCTCCACTGTGAGATTAATAAAATAACTCTTAATCTTAATCTCTTATTCTTAATTTGTGTTTCTTTGTTGTTCTATGCATCTAATACATGTCTTTCTCCATCTTTAATCTTTGGATAGTGCGTAACCCTCCTGTGATGCTGTCCAAGTACTTACCCCCTCCTGTTAAACGCCCAGACAGAATGGGCTTTGATGAGGTGAGTAGAGTAGTGAATATGTGAAAATAATTTCATGTAATTTGCAAAAATGATAAAATCTAATCTTAATTAACATTTATTTCACTTTCCTCTTATTCAGGTTTTTGTCATAAATTTAAAGAGGCGTACAGATCGGCGGGATCGCATGTTAAGGACTTTGCATCAACTAGAGATCGACTTTAAATTCATTCCTGCCGTTGATGGAAAGTAAGTGTTGTTCATCCGTGTACCTTAAAGCTGGGGTATCTAACTTTTTTTTCCTTCTCCTAAATAATGCATATTGTTTGTCCCAAATGAAATTGAACAAATCAGGCCACAATATACTTCATCTTCATCATGTTATCTTTGGCTTACATGTAAGAAAGAGCTCTGTGAGTCACTATTGGACTCTTTGGGCTGAAAGTTTAGTGACGGTGGTCCTCTCTTTTTCACTTTTCTGTCTGAAAAGATGATTTAAAAATATTACTGAGGCCAAAAATACCTGCATTTAAATACTCGAGATGGAACCAAGTGTTTTGATGGCAAGGAAGTTGGTTTTAGTAGATAGTTAAGTATTTGTGTGGTTTGACCCCAGCTTTAAATTCTTGTGGTTGCGGTTTGGTGGTTTACTGCAAAATGATTATTGGGAAAAGAACTGCCTCTATATGCGTGTATTTGGGTAGATGCAAGTGCTAATTGGAAATATCGCCCCTGTATTTTCTAGAGCAATGAATACCAGTGAAGTAAACGCTCTGGGAATCCACATGTTGCCTGGATACAGCGACCCGTATCATGGCCGCCCCCTGACCAAAGGAGAGCTCGGCTGCTTCCTGTCTCACTACAACATCTGGAAGGAGGTCTGTTTACGTGTTTATCTGATGCAGTTTAACGATCAGCTAAACACATGCGACCTTTTTCAGATTGTTGAGCGGGGCCTGGAGTCTTCTCTGGTGATTGAGGATGACTTACGTTTCGAAGTGTTTTTCAAAAGACGTCTGATGAACCTAATGAGTGAAGTGGAGAAGGATGGCTTGGACTGGGACCTCATGTAAGCTCTGACAACAACTATAATTTTTTACTATAATTGTACATGTTTTTGTCTCGTCTTATTCTGTATGTTTGTGTTTCTGTGTTTAGTTACATTGGCAGGAAGAGGATGCAAATTGATCACAGAGAGAAAGCAGTTCCTAATGTACACAACTTAGTGGAGGCCGACTATTCCTATTGGACGCTGGGTTATATGATGTCCTTACAAGGAGCTTTGAAGCTTTTAAGAGCAGAACCACTGTCCAAAGTTTTGCCTGTTGATGAGTTTCTACCCATTATGTACAACAAACATCCTGTGTAAGAACCACTGCTTCCTTTTGCAACATTATCAAAGTGTATAGACATTAATTTGTTGCTCTTGCCACAGGTCTGACTACATGAAGCACTTTGAACCCAGGGATCTTAAGGCCTTTTCAGCAGAGCCTCTTCTGGTCTATCCAACGCATTACACAGGTGAAGATGGCTATATTAGCGACACAGAGACTTCCACCGTTTGGGACAATGATAAAGTGCGCACGGATTGGGACAGGGCACGTGCAGGAAAGACAGGGGAGCAGGCGGAAATCAGCACCGAAGCCCAAAACTCAGACGTGCTCCAGTCTTCTCTAGACAGCACTGCAAGGGACGAGCTATGAGGAGCTTTGTGTGAACCGTTTGATTATGCAGAAGTAAGGCACATTGAATTTGTGTTCCTTTTCATGTGATTTTATAAATGTGACGTTTTCATTTTTAAACGATAGGAGCGTGCATGTACTAGACTTGTCTTTTCATATGGCATTTGCAGTACTAGCCTTATATCTGTCATACAGAAGTGGCTTAATTGATTGTTTCGCATTTCAGTTTAAATAATTAACATTCCACTGGGATGCTATTTATTTTGTTTACAAGTGATTTCTTTGTAGGCATGTCTGTCGTGAATAAATCATTACATTTTTATGAATCGTAGTTTATTTTGTTTACATCATTTGAGAGAAATTTTTTTGCATGGGAGACAAATGAAAATGCAGGAATAGAAATTGGTAAAATAAAGGAATTAGTTGCTGATGTCATACATTTTAGTGTCGGTTCAATTCTGTTTTAATGTATGTGACCCAAAGTTCCTCCTGCTTCAATGATAAAAGTCTTACACAAGTTTTGAAGATAAGAGAACCTTTTTTTTTTCCTACCGGTGGTATAATGAAGCAGTCATGGTCTTACCCGATAAGCAAACTAATCAGTCACTCAGAGCCCTCATGAAGCTAAATTATACTGGTTTTTTAACAATTATTTTCTTGATTCAAAAATATGTATTTCCACTTTACACAATTATCAAAGACGATAATGAACTTACAATCAAAGACGACTAGAAATAAGGATGTATAAAATGTGTTATTACTTGATACATTTTGCTTTTTTCCACAATTGCACACATTTCTATTTGATGGTGAATGCTGTAGGATGTAGAAATGTCCCCTGAAATTACGTTTCGCTTAGGGCAGAAGGAATCAAAGAAACACGTGTATGAAAAACGGCAGATATGTCTTGAAAATATGAAATTTGCGAGTGCTATTCTTAGTTCTCATTTTGAATCTCTTTATCTGTACCACATAGATAAGAAATGCTGGCAGGCATCAGGCTCGCCCAGCTGTTGACATGTGTGAGAAACCGCACTGCACAGAACTGGATGGGAGGGAGTGTGTTAAGTTCCTCTAGACTCTCACATCTTGATGAGTGTGAACAGTTATAAAAAACACGGGAGGCTTGGCATTTAACTCATGATTCTGCTCTTATGTGGTCAGATCTCCCAACGTGGGTGTAATTACCTCCACCCAGCCGACACCAAAATTATCCACAGCTGAATTTTGATGTTTGAAAGTGAAATTGCTTAAATTTTGTCGAATGCAGAGAATAATGATGCAAGAAAATGTCCATACAAGTTATTTTTATACGTCTATATATTTGTTAGCAGCGCTGGAAACTTTACGTGTTTTTAAGTGATTCGTCCACCAGGGGGCAGTGTTGTCATAGCAACTAGAGGCACGCAGACAACGTGGGTGAGGAGATAAATAAAATACTAACTAAAGGTGAGACAATCTTTAATAATGGGCTGTATAAACTATTGTTAATGTATTCATAACACTCTACGAACACATTTGAGCGAGAAAAGCCTCAGACATTTGACAAACATGGGCTGTACTTGTATCTGAAATTTAGATTTAGTTTATTGATATTAAGGGTCAATAAATGTTTTGATCAAGACCTAAAGCAACGTGTTTTGAAGGTTGTAAGTTATCACCAGGTCACCCATGGAAAACCAGAGCGTCAGTGAAGTATTAAAGAAACATTTTCATAAATTACACTGTTGTACTTACTACTGCAGTGTCTCCCAAAGTGGGGTCCGCGGCCCCCTGGTGGGCCGCGAGGGTACTGCAGGGGGGCCGCGGGAGGTCATAAAAAAAATAAAAAAAATAATATAATTATTTAATGTTACATTTATAATGTTTTGTTTGTAATATTAAAATATTTGTGTTCATTATTTGACTTGAATAATCCACTGTAATAATTTGTGTATGTAGCAGAGGCTATTTCCCCAAAATAAAATAACCAGAAGAGCCTATTCTTAATGTTGTCTTCTTGGTTATTATTTTGGGGGGCCACGCAGACCCGTCAGATTTTTAAGGGGGCCTCGGTGTTACTGAGTTTGGGAATGGCTGTACTACTGTAATGTAATGAACCATCCAAATAATGAACAAGATGATGATTATTGTGTTTATTGTTATTATTTAACAAGTATGCTTTTGTTTTACCTTCTTATTTAACTGTTTAGTACCAAAGAGTGGGAGCTCTTCTCCCTCAATTAATTGCAATGGCATTTTCACTACTCTAGATGTCGCTGTATATGTTGTTAAGAGTCTTAATTCCTAAATAGTACAACACACACAATTAAAACTACAAGTAGATTAAATATGCAGTGATATTGAGTTGTTTATGTTCTTCCAGTGGTACCAACAGATTAAATGAAGCGAACCACCCAATTTATAATTCATTTTCATGTGCTATTATCAATTCTGCCTATTTTATTTCATTCTAATTGAAAGTCAGTACAAATGACATGGCACCTTGTCTGTGTGATAGGTGGGGCCTCAACTGTTGACTTGAGATGCACTTCCTCTTCTCTTCGTGCAGAAGCATTGGTTCATGTCGCCCGCAGACCAACAGCAGAACTGCCTCACATCAGAAATTCAGAAATGTGCAAATCACTGAAGCAACATCATTTGAGGCTCTGAAAGGCTGAATCTCAGCAAAGATGAGGTGTCAGTAGAGCTGTCCAAGAGGCTGTAGGAATGGACGACGATCAAGGTCCCAGCAGTGAAGTCTCCCAAACAACAGGTAGGTGAATACACTTTACATCAGTTTGAATGTATTTCTATCAATCCAATTATGAAGCAAAGAATTACAAGCTGTTATACACACTTTAGCTTATGGTAACACGTACAACACTGCACCAGCGGAGCCTGTAATTCAACAAATATGCATAAATAATGTCTTACTATAATTGTAGTAATTTTCTCTGTTAAGAAATGTTCTGAAAAAACAAGTGCTTTTGTACTTCTCCTGGATGTGACACAAACTGTGAACAGGATGTGGTTTACCAAAGAGAGAGAAACGGAGGGAGTAGTGAGAAGTGTTTGTACATTAAATTGTAACCAGAGAATTAGACCGAGTAGCATCAGCGTGCTTTTATATATGACTGATATCACATTATTGATAGGGGGCTGCTCAATTATTTGTCTCCCAATTATTTAAATCAGAATCAGAGGGTTTCTGTTGCCCCTGTCATCAAGCTTCGCAGAGTAGGAAAGAGGAATGGATTACAAACATTTAGAATATAATAACTTCTTAGTGTGTTATTTTCCATGGTTTGCAAATAGCAGTATAGTAGGACAGTACAGTATCACACAAGCTTACATGTTACTGGGCTGGGTCATGGACAATACTAAAGATCTTATTCTGACGTCCATCCATCCATCCATCCATCCATGGATATTCTGACGTTTGTCTCCTAAAATATGTTATTGCTTTGTCTGGAATATTTCACAGTAGCAGTAAATGTATCTATCCTCGCTTATATCTGCAAAGAGGCGACTTGTCTTTCAAGGTCTTTTTGAGTTATGAATACAACAGAGTTTAAATTTAATGTCTACTGAGGAAAATTCCAGTCAAAGCAATTTATATTCTATTGCCTAGGATCCACTAGACATCCCCGGCTCTCAAAACTCTGGAAAATGAAACTGTGTGCAATATAGTTTTTTGACAATATATAATTTTTTCTTTCTTTCTTCTTTCAGAGGTGAAGAAAGTGTGTCGTAAATCTGATACCAAGAGATACAGTGAGATTCTCCGGGACTTCGATAACTTTGAACTGTCTCTGATTTCCAAGTTAGTGAACTATTCTATACTTTTTTGTCTATCTTGATACGACGTACCAAATGAAAAGAAAGTTTTACTCCCAAGTACAATTCATAAAACTATTGTAATTAAGTGTGATAATCAATCAAAGCAATTTTATCTGAGAAAAGAAGACCACATCCAAAAAGAAAACTGGTAGATAATTTTGTTGTTGTTTTATAATGTTGATGATAGAAGCAGGTTTAATGGCAAATAGCATATGGATTTTCATGTTTCATGTTTTTTAGATGAAGTCTGTACTGGGTCAATTAAGAAAAGAAATTATTCAAAAAATCTAGGTGCTCTGCAAGGATATTATAATCGTGGCTGAGAAATGTATAGACAGCATTTCCATGAGAAGGGAGTGAAAAGTTGAAAGTGACGCCATTTTGAAATATTGATAAAATGGTTTAGATTTCTTAAAACAAGCCTGTTAATTACAGAGCAGTGGGTGGGGATAGGGGGTAGGTGAAAACAGATCTTGACAAAAACTCTAGGTTCCATACATACTTTCTCAAGCTGGGGGCACCTGATTTTGAAGCTGACCTGAATGCATTTGACAAATATTGGAACTTTTGGGCCGATTTTTTCAAACAGATAAGAAAAGTAGGAATAACCACCTTGAAAACCACGAGAACAGTATTGCACCTTTAATGTAGGGCTGTTAATATTACTATTATTGTTATTATTTGTTATGACAATCAATTAGTTGTCACAGAAAGTTTTTTTTTTAAGATACATTTTCTGAAAGGTCAAAAGCAATACATCATTTCTGAGAACAAAAGTTGCATTCGCCCTGTTTTTGGTAACATTTTAAGAACTGCTAATTTCTACTCCATGTCTTTTATAGCACAGCGTAACTATTTACTGTCCATATTCAGTGCAGGGGAGGATCTTCTGGCTGATATTGATTCACCGAGTGTTGAAAGTGCTGAGACCACAGAGCACATTCAGGAACCGGTAAGAAATCACTGCTCACATTTTTATTATAGATAATAAGACTTTTTATGCACTGGAGAATAATCATTTACGTCTTGTTCTATCTTTCAGCCAAATGAAGACTCACAAAAAGAGGATGAACAAGAAGCAGATCAAAATACCCCAGGTAAAATGTTGGCATGTCAGAGTGTTAGTGGATATTCATTATACCTGTAGTAACTTAATTGCATTACTAAAAACACAGTATCTTGTGACGTCTTGTAGTTCGATGTCTTTCTTTTGAGACGTTTCAACATAATTAACTGGCATTTGTAATTGCCTCCCCGTAACCAGATTAGTTTAAGAGCCAAGGATTTAAAGTAGGGACAGCTGCTCTTTGTCTTTACCTCAGACGTTCAAGAAAAAATATTGTCGAATCAAAGCAATGTTGCGAAGTGATACGGGGGTGTGTCTTTGTGAGTAGGTCGGTCAAATAGTGAAAGAATTAAAAAAAATGGTGGCTAGGTCTGCGAATAATACTTAATAATGACTTAGAATGAATTCATTAAATAATAATATGTTACAGTTGACATAAATTAAATGTTGTTTTTTGGTAGAACCTGTTCTTTATGAGAATTTTGTAGATGTATTGATTAAACGTATCTTTTTTTTTACCATCTTGTGTTTAAAAAATGAAAAAAATATATATCTAGGTGGTATCTAGGCCTGAAAAGCTAATTGTAACTAACATGAATGGTAATCTAAATTTAACAATCTTATTCTTGAACTAAACTGTTCAGACTCTAAAACACAAACTAACATTAACTTTTTAAAAATGTCAACAAATTAATGGCAATTTAACATTTCATTGATACAATAATTTTCTTTATCTTCTATATAGGAGCCTTCAGTCACCATGTTGCCTCCATCAAAAGGGCTATGTTTTCATCTGGGTTTGTTTGTATGTCTTATCTTTTATAGAGTGAGTAACAAAACTCATAGTAACGTGGGAAGACTTTTGTGATAATGACCATTATTAGCTTTTGGAGGTAATTCCGCTCACCGACTGGATCCAAGATTTTTTTTAATGAATGCAACTCCGCCTCTTGGTGGAGGTTTGTGCTCTACGAGGGCTTTTCTAACACCATCTTTGTTTGTTGAGCTAAATGACAATCAAAAGTAGTCATTAGCGGTGTCTACTGTGAAGTTCCACACGGCGTAACATTCAAAGCAGAACTCACTCAATAGAACAGACAGGTGTCAAACTGTATTTTAATTTAACTTTCAATTAAAACACATTGATTTTTAAATTACACGAAGACAGTAGAGCATTCGTTTGTGCAGCAACCCGTGTCGTGTAGGCGCTGGGGTATAACGGTCTTAAAGCCAGTTCACCTCACGCAGTCTCACTCCAGGAGGTAAACCTTTCCTCGCGGCTAAAGCCAGTCTGACACAATCTGGAGCAGTATAATCCCTAAACGCATGAAGCTACAAAGACACACCAGCCTGCACGGATTTCTGAAACTTGAGACAATTCAGTAGCTATGGAAGTCACCTGCACCCCCAAAGCACACGTGAATCTATGAGGAAATACAGGGACTTTTTTTGGCTTTTTTCAACTTTTATTCTTGCATGGATATAGCTGCTTATTATGGGAGAGTTTCGGTAAAGGATGAAGCTATACTTGCATGTCTGGATGATTTCAAAGGGAAGTTGATTCTTACATCCTCTTTTTCGGCTTGCTTTATCAGCTAAACATTGCTTGGACAGAGACAGCAGGGTGTTAGGAGAAGTGAAAAAGCGCAGATACTAAACTAAGCAACTGAAAATATATTGTGTCAGTGATGGTGAGCTGTTTACACGCACAGTATCAAGCGCACTGCTAACCTCACATAAAGCATAAAGGAAAATCCCTTGTGATGATCATATCAACTAGCTGTGCATGACTCTTTGTGACTGAATACAAGTGAGGAGGTGAAAAGGGAGGGGCCCGAAAAGGAAGAGGAACACGGGAAGTTAACTTGCCTGTTGCATAGATCAACTAACAACAAGTTTTCATTTGCAAGAAGATACGCTATTACTGTATTACTCGTGGATTTCACATTTCAAGATCATGACCTCCAGTTTGAAGACTTTATTTCCTGTTGTGGATTGCTGCATGTGTTTCATTTAAACGCCTGCTGTGTTGTCATCTGAGTTGCTGGTAGAATTCCGTCCCTGGGTTTCTTGCTGCTCGGAACACCGCAGTAATGTTGATGTATTCAATCTCAGCCCAGGAGGCAGATCTGGCTCTGTGTGGCTGCGAGGATGGAGTGGAGACCGCCCTACAATACGCCAAGATGTGGTGCCGCTACGCCAAGGACCTCCTCAGCTGGATGGAGAAGAGGATCAGTCTGGGTCAGTGCATGCTGAACAAATAGATTTTAATTTTGTGAATTTGAAAACTTATCTGAGACTGTGACACTATGATTATGTGATTATTTACTTGTCACCAAACCAAACATCAGTCAAAGCCTTCATTCATATTGTCCAAGTTATATTGTCTAGTTCAAGAGTGTCCACTTTATTCTTCAAGGCCCATTTCTTGAATCATGTGTATATACTGTATGTAGAAAATGACAGATCAGTGGTCAATTCTGTGAAATATAAATGTACAATTCTTTTCTTATAGGAGGTGATAGTTATAATGGTAGACACAATCTAAAATTGCCGTAAGATATAAGTGATCAGAACACAGACATTATAGAAAATTGTGAAAAAGTTAAACAATTGTTGACATTAATTTTAGTAAGGACTTTGGGACCATTCAGGCAGATGCTTAAAAGTAAAGGTAAATTTATGTAAATGTGGGAAATCCCAGTTTGGGCCCCCAGACTTTCATATGGGCTCCTTCATTGAATTGAATTTAAATCATGTATGTACTGTAACTTATTATCTGTGAATATTGACTCATGTAGGTTTAAGTATAATGTGTACAGATTTTTCATTTAACTCAGCGATCCAAAGCACCAATTTATAGAAAGAAGAACATTATCACCAAACAATAATTGTGGAGGAATACATGAAATAGCAAGGACATTGAGAAATTATTAATTCCACCCTGTGCTCAGTCTGGAGTCAAACAGAGAAGTTGCAATTTGAGGCAAATTTCCAAAGAAGGATGTTCACAGTTGCATTTGGTTACAGTGACATCACACAGTTTTATTTGCATAATAGAAAGAATCAACAGGCAACAGGAGATATGTATTTATTTTTATACTTATTTCCTATGTTTATCCCTTTAGAACTTAGCCACAAGTTATTTAATTAATGTGGCTTTTGTTTTCCAGAGCAAGAATTTGCAAAGAGCATCATAAAGGCAGCAGAAGGAGCAAGATCCATAGTCTCACAACAGGTACAGTTCCCATAAAGCACTACCCTACTTATCTATATCAGGGTGACAAACGGGGCCAGTTACATGTTGGATCTATGGAAATGCCTCTGCTTACAGTCAGAATACATGTTTTATATGTCTTTGTGATCAAAAACAACAAACTTTAAAGTCATGCTAGCATTCCAATGAAAGAAACAGGCGACGTGTTCTTCACCTAAACAGGTAAAGGTCCTAAGAAGCCAACTCACTGGCAAAAACCAGGCCCAGTCAATTAACAGTTACGCCCTGCCAGTCATCAGATACCCTGCAGGAAAAATCAGGTGGCCAAAGGAAGAGATTCAGAACACAGATGGTAAAACCTCCTCACCATGCATGGCGGGTTCCATCCTAAATCCAGCACCCTGAGACTGTACGTAAGCCGTAAAAAAGGAGGCCGAGGACTAGTGAGTGTGAGAGCCACTGTCCAGGACCAAACATCCAAACTCCATAACTACATCATGGAGAAGGCCAAAACGGATGACGTACTCAGTGAATGTCTCAGGCAGTGGCGAGATGAGGAGGTGGTGGAGACGAACCCATCATGGGAGGACAAGCCCCTACACGGCATGTACCACCGGAGCATAACAGAAGTGGCTGATCTCAAGAAGTCCTACCAATGGCTAGAAAGGGCTGGCCTACAGGACATCACAGAGGCACTCATCATGGCTGCACAGGAGCGATAGAGGCCCAGATATACCACACCAGACAAGACCCAAGGTGTCGGTTGTGCAAAGAGGCACCTGAGACGATCCAACACATAACTGCAGGGTGCAAGATGCTGGCAGGGAAGGCCTACATGGAACCAAGTGGCTGGCATAGTGTACAGAAACATCTGTGCAGAGTATGGGCTGGAATCCCCAAGGTTTAAGTGGGAAACTCCTCCAAAGGTGGTGGAGAATGAGTGTGTGAAGATCCTGTGGGACTTCCAGATACAGACCAACCGAATGGTAATGGCGAACCAACCTGACATCGTGGTGGTCAACAGAGGGTAGAAGAAAGCCGTGGTGGTGGACGTGGCAATTCCAAGCGATGGTAACATCAGGGAAAAAGAACATGAATAGCTTCTCCTCAGAGAGGAGCTGGAGAGGGTCTGGAGGGTAAAGGAGACAGTAGTGCCCGTGGTGACCAGTGGTTACAGCAGATCCCTGGAACAACCTCGGAAATCTCGGTCCAGAAATGTGCAGTGCTAGGAACAGCAAAGATACTGCGCAGAACCCTCAAGCTCCCATTTATTGTTTTTATAGTGCACTTTTAATAAAAACACAATTGGGATGATATTCAAATACAGAAAATACTAACTAACTAAAAAAATTATGGCAATTTACAGGAAATGATGCCGCTTCAGTACATCTTCACAATGGCCTTTGAGCAAGACATCAAAAATAGTCTCACAGCAAGAAAGATGTCTGACTTGATACAACACCGCTGTTACCAGGTGGGTTTAACCTTGTCACAATGAAAGAATATTGCCTTCTGATCAATATGTTTGTCACTGTGCACAGGCCTTGTATGCAAAGAAGAATGAGATCGACAAGTGGCGGCGGGAGTTCAAAGAGCAGTGGGCACGAGAGCAGCGGAAGATGGTAAATATTCAATTATGGTTCAATCAGATTTATAAGATCTGGTTTCAGTTTTCTGTATGTTACAAGTTTAGGAAATGTTAAGAAATATGTTTCATCCAAATGTTAGGTCGGTTTCACACCAATATGATGGTTATCTAGACCGTTCTACATTTGCTGTGGATTATAAACTCTCAGTGTAATGTATAAAATTAGTTGCATTTGGTTCCGGTGACATCACACACATTGGAGTCTTTTCCATTGCTCATATATAAGTATAGATTTGTACAGCCTTGGAGAACTTCAAAAAAGGAATCAACAAAAGTGTAAAGTAAAATCCAGTTAAGTCCTCGGGTAGCATTGGTTTTGTTCTGTTTAGAAGAGAAGAGTGAATGCAAAAACTTGATCCCATCAGATCTCATAAGCTAAGCAGGGCATAGTATTGTGGTGGGAGACCTCTGGGAGCAGTGAATAGTAGTTCACCCCCACCGCATATGGAGTCAATGAATAATTCCACATGAAGTGTCATGGAAAGGGCTGTATATGAAATAGATTTCTAATTATTATTGATCATTAAACTGCGTATACAGTGTTAATTTGGTAACAAGTGATATAGGCTTAGTAACAATCAAAACATTTGTTACCTGTTTATTAAGGAGTATTAAATGACTGTATAATAAACATCTTGTGTAATTGTCTTGTTGTTGTTGTCCAGAGCGAAACGGTGGTGGCTCTCAAAAAGGCACGACATCAGTATTTCCAGCGCTGTGACGATCTGGAAAAGGCAAAAGCCGTCAGCGCTAAAGCCGCAGACGAATCCTCTGGCACCAAGACTCTGGACAAGAGGCGGAAGTCGAAGGATGAAGCTAAAAATAAAGTAATGCTGACAACATTTAGTATTTACTATAGCGGCTGTAATTAGTGAGGTAACAACAGTTGTTCTATCAGGTGTTGGAGGCGGAGCTTCTGTACCGTCAGTGTGTGCATGACGCCAGGATTCAGCAGGACGAGTTGGTCCGAGTCAAAGAGAGGATCATTTCACACATCAGAAAACTCATATGTCAAGGAGATACTGTACTTAAAGAGGTAATTACATGTACAAGGTGCAATATTTATTAATATGCATTTAACCAGGACCAACCACTATAGCAAATACTGTTGGTTACTTAACAACCACACTTTAGTAAACTGCTGTTATTAAATCTAGGTCAATGTTTAAAATTATTATCTTGTCCTTCAGGCCACTGTGAACATGTTTTACTACCAGCGGCAGCAGACGGAGCCGGTGCCGCTGGGTTTTCACAACCTGGAGCTGACGTCTCGGTCCCTGGAGCCCGGAGAGCAGTACCTGCTGTACATCATCAGGAAACCGCGACAAGATCAGCCACTGCACAACTTCACCTTCCAGGAGTATGTCTGTCAAAGCAAAGGGTAAAAACTGCCTCATGAATATAGACAATCAAACTTAAATTAGAAGTCTTGTAGTTAATTTAATTTGTGCAAAGGAACAAGCGGACAACCAGTAATCCCCTCTCAACCGTGATGGATCCTGTGGCAGACGAAAGCCTCGGCCGACGTTCTAGCGAAGGAAGTAAGTCACACGTGCAGTATTTATTCACTCTAGACTTCAAACCTGTTTTGTTTCCTCATTTCGACTACAAAAATAATAAGGGAAAGTCACGCAGTGGATTCATTGTGATATTTTCTTTTATTAGACTCTATAATGCAATGATTGAGTACAACTCCTGCCTCATTATGTGTTCAAATAATGAATTGCTAGTATGTATTAGTATTCTGATGCAGTCTTTCTTTCTTTGCCTAAAAGTTCTTGAGGATGCATCGCCACAGAAACCCCCAAATTGAACTGTTAAATAACTTAAAAGCACCTTAAAATTATAGAATGCTGATAACGTTTGTCAGTTTTATGCTTAAAAACCTCTTGTAGCAACGTTTAAGCCATTTTTTAGCCATGTTCAAGCCATCATTTACTGTACTCTCACTGAGAACACAATTCTGATTAATTTTATGATTTGGTAATAATGCACTATGGATTTGCTCAATGCTTTTTTCTCGTACTTATGTCCAATTAATGTTTTGTACAATAATGAATTAATTGTTTTGCTCTGCTTTCAGGGAGATCAGGATATAGTGATTGTGACAGTTTTGGAGGGAGTATGGAGTCCCTTTCCAGTCCTGGTAACATCTTATTATTTTGCCTCTGTGATATTCTTTAAATGTAAAATACATTTTAACCTCACTATTTGTTATTAAAGCTCACAATAACAGGAGATTACCCAAAACCGCTTCCACTTTAACCGTGTCATCAGACGATCTGGATGAGCGAGACCAGGCATCCGAATCAGGTTAGTCTTGCAGAGGAGTATCCAAACTATGGCCTGCGAGTCAATTGTGGCCCCCAGAGCAATTTTTGTTGCCCCTTATGCCTTCTGCTCTATTTGTCTAAAAGCATTATGGGTTTAACTTGTCAGGAGCAGTGGTTGGAACAGACATTATTATATCACAGAAAATTTTATTTATTCTCCATCCATCCATTTTCTGTCACTTTATCCATTGCCGAGTCGTGGAGGCCGCAGTCTGAGCAGAGACACCCAGGCGTTGTAGCCGAACTCCAGTCCTTTTGGCAATTACCCAAAGCTCATGACTGTAGGTGATGGTGGGAATGTACAGTATATCGACCTGTAAATCGTGTGCTTTGCCTTTTGCCTAATTCTACCGATTTCAATGCAATAACAGCACATTCTTCCGTGATACCAGACAAAAGTAATGTTCAAAGCCTTATGAAAATACTGTCACTCTTTTCAGCCTATTTACAGTATATTACAATCATCAGAATGGCTCAGTTGACTCACCATTGATGGCCAGTCTTTAGCCCTTTACTCATAAAAAGGTTCACTCTTGGGCACTCTAATACAACATGTACTTCTTCTGAGCAATTATCTCCCTCAAATGTCAGCTATCAATAGCTTTTTTTTTTTCTGCAGAGTGCCTCAATGATTCACCGTGCAAATCTCGACCACTTTCTCGATCTGCCTTGACCCACCGACTCCGAAAAATGAAGAGCAAAATGGTCAAATGCAAACACTGCGAAAACTACATTGTCGTGAATGGAGTTGAGTGTGATGATGTACGTGTTTTAAATTGTGCCCCACCACTTTCAAAATGTAAGAAATAAAATTTATTATGGCTTTGGCAATTAATTTACGAATTCTTACATGTGGATTGTGAGGGTTTATAAAAAATACAGTAGTTTTATTGTCAAATCATCAAAATTTAGCCTAGTGTAATTTTCATCAATAGTAATCTTTATTCATCCATTGTCTCTATCTAAGAGACTTCAGTCAGTTAATCATCATAAATTTGGTCAAAATATTTACTGTCATAAATGAAACTGGCCCCACATCTGTTTTTGTAATATCAGTTTTGCTGTAACGTTCCCCTGTTGTTTTTCAGTGTGGTTTGGCCTTGCATAGAAAGTGCACGGAGGTGTGCCAGCTGGACTGTGAACACGCAAAGGGCTCAGTTTTCGGAGTGGATCTGTCTCTGCTGCAGCACAACAAACCAGATGAGGTCCCCTTTGTGGTTCAGCGCTGCATCTCCGAGATCGAGAGCCGGGCCCTTTGTGTGCAGGTGAAAAGAACACGTTTAAAATGTTACTTTCTGATGGTACATGGGCTGCAGATATGACATAGGTAGAAATAGTTACCGCAGCAACCATACAGTTATTAATGGCCACAGCTCGTCTCTTTCAGCCTCCACTATAGCGATGTAATGATAAAGATAATTACTTTCTTGTGCACTAATTAATGTCCTGTATACTTTAAAACATATTTTTTCAGTCACAAACATAGACGTAAATAACACAAAATGTAGTTGATCGATGCAAAATCATTATACAGTACATTTTTACCTGAAAAGTCACCACTGTGTGTATGATTGTGCTCATGCTTTAAATGTTTGGTGTGTGTTTAGGGGGTGTACCGTGTGAGTGGAGCCAAGCCTCGCGTTCAGAAGCTCTGTCAGGCCTTTGAGGAGCAGAAGGAGCTGGTGGATCTGTCCGACGTCTCTCCGCACGACATAACCTCAATTCTGAAACACTTCTTTAAAGAGGTACGTCAGTGTTTATTTTAATTATAATTTTTCACCATAACAAGAATGGAATGAGACTATTGGTTTCTATAGCCTTGGATTTTCAAACTTGTCCCTGAATAATCAAACATTCTATAGCAAAATGTATGATTCAGATTAGTTTTCTAGTGGTCTTTTTCACTAGCTTCATATTTCAGAACGATATTTTCACATCTCTCCAATTGCCTCACCTTGTGGTCGCAAACTTCACAGACCACTCTAAAGCCAGTCATATCCCTGTACAACCAGGCAATCAAGGTCTACGACAGGAAACCTTTGAGGCATCATTGCGACATCATTAAAAAAACACTTTTTACGTTTGAACATTTTGTAAGCTTTTGTGCACTGAAATTGTTTTTTAAATGTTTAACTGATCATGTTCCACCGCTGTTCTCTGGTCTGGCTGTCAGACGTCAAGGCTCTCGAAGGCCTAACCCCAGAGCCTCGGTCAGTGTGGACTGTCTGGTTCCTAAGTTCAGAACATCGTTGGGACAGACCAGCTTTTTTAAATATGTGAATTTGTGTCCTAAAAGCGTTCTATGGACAAGTGTTGAAAATGTGTTTGGTCCTGCTATAACACTAAAGGCAGTGCATCTGGTCTCTCCAATGTAACTGTTGTGTCCATATCAAATAAATAAATAAATACAATAATAGTTGACAGATTTTGAGACGTATCTACCCATTTTAAGACAATATCAAAGAGGTATGCATTTTAGCTATTTTTTTCAAACAACATTTTCTTACCACAAACATCCTAGTGTACCGGTATTTACATATACAGTCTATGGTACTTACCCATGTTGTGATTACCCAGATATTATCTACTGTATATGGCTCATTACACTACTTTTGAAAGGAGAGGATTACTTGGACTTCCCATGAGTCATAGAATGAACGTTTGTGTAATACTATTTTTTGTATAATGTCATTTGTGTCTGTTTCAGCTTCCAGAGCCTTTACTCACGTTCGAGCTGTACAACGACTTCATCGACGTGGGGAAAACAATTCAGCATCTGAGTGAAAGTCAACAGCCTCCAGACACTAACGAGATCATGGACATCATCAGCAGCCTACGCACAGTTCTACACAGACTTCCTGCGTACTGCTACAGCACTCTGCAGCACCTCATGTGTCATCTGCAAAAGTGAGAATCCACCTCCTGCATTTCCACACTAAGTATTTCTATGGGAAGCTTTCTGTGAATGGTACCAAGGGCTATTTTAATTTGGGAGTGTCCTAGGGTTCTTGAATACATTGAGCCTGACTTTTCTTGGTTGGCTGCTGTTATTGTTTTGTTTTCCTCAATTCTGTTGCAAGACTTTAAGTGTAAATTTGAATAGCTGGTGAAATGTTAGTTGTTTAGTTTTATCTATAAATGCACATCGTAAATTTGATTTTAAGCAGTGTTAATCCCATGTTATGGTGTGCTAATAATTTTTTGCACTAACGCAAACCATATGCCGTAGTATCTTGAAAGTACTATTTTATAGATTGCAATGGTTGAGGTAAGGATTTTTGTATATTTTATTTTTTATACATTTATATATATTTCAAACCTGTGAACAGACACTTCACACTAAACAAACAACAGCAAAATAAATAGTATACAAACTAAACAGCTAAACACAGTTTGAAAAAGGTTGGATGAAACAATATCATATTGTTATATTTGGAAATGACTGTACAAAAAAAATGCAATATGCAGCTTTGAATTTAACACGAGCAGATATGGTCCAAACTCACTGAAGCAAGTGTCAGTGAAATTGATGTGTCAACTGAAACCTGCACATCACCTTTTCACACACACCAACATAACAGACACAGATCAACAAGTACATTTATGAAAAAGGGTTTGATGGCTTACTTTGGGTTTGTCCTGATTATTACTGCCTTATGGTTGACTTTCTCTGTTCAGTGGCTTATGTCTTCGCTCATCTTATGTCATTTCTCTGCCCACGTTTCCCACAGAGTTTCAGAGAACATCGAAAACAAAATGTGTGCCAGTAACTTGGGTATTGTCTTTGGGCCTACACTACTGCGCCCCCTAGAGGTCTTAGACACCATGCTCGCACTGCAGGAGACCAGCTTCCAGGCCCATCTCATCGACTTCCTCATCTCACACCACAATAAGGTTTTCGGGCTTCAAAACCGCTCCTGCACGCCTCTTCCTCCGGTTCCTAGTGCCCCGCTCCCACAAACTCCACCACGAGCTTCTTGCCCATTAGACCAAGAGGATTTTAACTGTACAGAGCAAGAACCCTCAACAAGAGAGCGCCCACAGTCTTTAGAGGTACAATTATAAGCTTTATTTTAAATTCATTTTACTGATTGTGCTGCTACTGCTTCCTGCTGCTAAGTCTTCTCATTTATTTCGCTCTTTAGCTATTACTCTACCGCTCAAAAGTTTGGGGTCACCAGATTATTTTGTTTTCATCAAATCACCTGCAACTTAAAACAGAAAAAAACATTAAGTATAAACTATGAACCCATAAATGCTGTGCTCCAGGTAGTAATAGTACTGTCTATGAGAAGTATTAATAGTTTTAATCATTATCAAGGTTTTATATCCTTTTTGACACGTTTCACTAATACAATGGGCCTTTTACCTCTATTAAAAATCATGTCTTGTTTGTATTTCTGATTGAGTTGATATTATCCTTCAAAAACAATCCAATGACCCCAAACTTTTATATTTTCAAAAATGTCTAAGAGAAAAAGTTATTCACCCTTGTGCTCTCCTCTGATTAAAATGACCCACCACAGTGATTAAAAGTAGTTAGGAAAAAGCATCAGAATTCAGCTTGAAAAAAATGTATTTAGGGTATTTCTTTTTCAATGTGGTGGGTTAAATTGACGCGAGGAGAGCAAAAGGGTCAGACTGAATTATTTCCTTAGACAATAACAATATAAACTAATGTCATTCCAACAGACTCGCAAATTCAAGAGAGATTCAAGCGAGGGTTATATTTCTGACAAATCTTCGTCCAATGAGGCAGTGGACCAGCTCAGCCCTGAAGTCAATGACACAGCAGGTAGGCGTAGTGACATAGCCAATAGTCTGGTTTAGTTATCACATGTTTTATTTTTATTTTTTTTCCACAAACAATAAAACTAGGCCAACCTCCTGCAGTCTGCACCAGATACTTTGAGCACAGGATAGACTTTTGTCCACTTTGTTCTGACACAATGTACGTCACACTCCCAGTTTTAGACTGCTTTTGTTCCTGTTTTTCTTGCTTGCAGCTTTTTATTTTCTGCAATTTTGGGTTGTTGTAATCTACCATGAGCTTTGAATTTATTATGATGTATTTTCAATCAAATGTTATTGGTTTAATAGTAATTTTTTAACTCTTTGGGTGGCAGAGTTTGTCAAAAAATGTTGACAAATTGTGGAACTCTGAAACTTTAGAGATAGTGCACTACTAAAATCAACAGAAATAGACAAAATAGAATATGTAAGAAAAATGTTGGAAGCCAGGTCACTATAGAAATTGATCTGGATTCAGCTCATGTAGATATTCTTCTACTTTGGCACCTAAAGGGTTAACAATAAACCACTGGTGATGCAGTTCAATATAATTAGCAAGATAGTGTCATAATATGGAATAATCCAAGCAAAACAATAGCATGCATGTATAAAGACAAATCCAGTACGTGGCACACCCTCTAGAGTTGACTGTGGTATAGTGGAGTCAACTATAGTGTAGTAGTTGTGAACAGAACTCTACGTTTCTCTTCTGTGCAAGGATTAACGACAAAGTGCAAAAGGCAATTAACTTAAAATACTCAATGTGCATGTTAGGTTAATTGCCATGGTAAATAAAGGCTTGGAATTATACAAATGCCGATTGCTTTTCAACACGTTTGCATTCTAATGATGTGTTTTTGCTTTCTTATTTAAAGTCCAGGCTTTGAAGAAGGCAGAAAACGCCTCCAACATCAATCCAGCGGACTCTGTATTCACAAGTCACCCACATTATCGTTTCACCCGACAACCCGTGAAGTACCACCGCCACCACAACACCGCACCCAGACGCCACAACCCCGCTGCCAAAGCAGAGCCTGCCTCTTCCAGGAGCTGTCCGGGCAGCGCAGACAGCAGCCGCAGCTCGTCTCCGGACCCGTGGACACAGAGACCTCCGAGATCTCTCAATTCCAGGCTTTCGCAGCAGGATATTTTCGGGGCGGAGGGTAAAACGGACCCCCCGGTGGGCCCTCGAGAGGTGGTGGAATATATGCTGGGGTTGGATTCAAGATTCCCTATGGAGGGGCCAAAACCTGACAGGAGCCATAGACAGTCTGTTGATAAAGGGCATGGCTTTTGTCACTTACCAAAATCTCCTATTTCTGTGGAACACATTGTGACCTCACCTGCCCAAAAGATCCTCTCTGGACTCAAGCTCAGGCGCAGTCACTCAGGCAAAGATGAGCAGCTGTTTGTATGAAAACACACACATACTCACCTTATTCTTTCCTTCATTCAGAAACCTGTATTTATATGTTTCTAAATGTTGATGCCTTCTTCTTTCTCCTCAATTAACCACAGTTGAAAAGTTCAAACAGAGTTCTTTCTAGAAGTGACACCTTTATAAGCGTGTAATCCTCTTTGTGAGTAAGATCTGATCTTGATCCAGCTGTATCAAAGCCAAAGGGAGTTACTGTACCTTCTCAGCTGGTGTGTCTAAAAGGAGAGAACAAGTTTCACTGTCAAAGCATCAGGACACATAGGATTATACTGAATATGTAAATAAAAATCGTCATGTGTTTTATTGGGTCTCTTTTGTTATTTTATGTATTTTAAACAGCTATTTGTTTGTTACCTTTATCTTATTATCGTATCTTAACACTTGAGTTTGTCTCAACCGAAAATGTCTTGTAAAAGTAAAAGTTTTTGAACAAATGTGTCAAAAAGAGAACTTGTCAGTGTGTATTCCACATTTGGGGCTGAGAGCAGAATGGCTGAGTCAGGGAGGGAGTCTCTTTTTCACTTTACTGAAAAAAGCTGAAGAAACAGAAGACAAAAATACACGCATGTCTGTCTTTGGAGCTAGGACCAAGATTATAGTGTTATTACATAGATACTGTTGTGTTTTGAAAGTTGGGTGCCCCAGCCTGAAAGAATATGGTCTGTTCAAAAGGTCCAGATTTTACAGTCTATGGTCCAGATGCATGTTGCGAATGTAGTATTTTCGTCTTGCCACAAGGGGGAGCACTACCCCCAACCTGAACTGAAAGAGACCCATATCTATGAGGAGATCCCTTGAAATCATTAAGCTTGTATTATTACATATTTTCGATCCATACAATGCAAAATTACACTCTGGTCCTTTCTTTTTTTTTGCTAATTATGTCACATTTTAATTTTGCAGAATCAAACAATATGATCATGCGCAGTTGATGTTGTGCCCTTTCTAATGCCCTAACCCCCCTAATTGGACTCTTATCGGCTTCTTCTTTGTTAATTTTAATAACATGCCTAAACCACATGCTACACAACTTTAGAGAGACAGAAATGTATAAAATCAGGTCTTTGGATGTTTGCGACCTGCTTTCATTCCCGCTTGTCTTGGTCAAGTCCATGCGCCCTGTGGAGTCAGTGGTCTGTAACCTCTAGCAAACAGAAGGCGCCGTGCATATGTGTGTGTGTGCGTGTGTGTGTGAAATCATCAATACTCCTCAGTCATGTCGCTCTATCATCTCCCACAACTCTCCTCTCTCTCTCTCTCTCTCTCTCTCTCTCTCTCTCTCTCTCTCTCTCTCTCTCTCTCTCTCTCTCTCTCTCTCTCTCTCTCTCTCTCTCTCTCTCTCTCTCTCTCTCTCTCTCTCTCTCTCTCTCTCTCTCTCTCTCTCTCTCTCTCTCTCTCACGTCCATCTCTCCTCCCTTCGTCCTCTCCTTTACGCACAGAACAAGTGAGCGCGGACTGAGGAAAAGCAGAGGAAACAATAGAGCAGAAATATTTTGGGGGCGTCATGCCGTTTGGACTTTAGCGCGTGTTGAATGTTGCACTTTGGCCTGTGAGCAGCGAAATACACACTAATAATAATAATTGTTTTTTTTTTTTGACTGGATCAAAGATTTCATGCTGCCCACGGAAATCCCTGCAGGAGTGTGTTTCACTTCAAGGTAGGACTTTGAATACAATCAGAGTGGATTTTTTTATTTTTACTCTGAAACGTGTATAGGAATTTAAGAATGACGTTGGTTACAAGTTCTTTTTTTTTCGCCTCTTCCTCAATTCTGTCTCATCGAATCACACCTGAAATAGTCAGCTGTTGCCTAAAAACACACGTGGCCACCGTGACATTCAAACTGCTTGCAGATATCTGGTTTTGTGCAAATAAATGTTTGAAATATCAGCGGAAAATTGCCTTTAGGGTTTTATTCATGCAGGGCATAAAAAAATCATATTGACAGCGGTCATATTTAGCGCACTGGCAGACTTCAGGTTCATAATTATCGATCAATTACACGACAATTGGCACTAATGCATTCAGGCATCAATTAGGGAAAAGGCCAAATCAGATTAAAACTAATTTACATATTTCTGTCTCTGTAATGATTCATTTATTTATGTTAGAATATATGCTACACGCCCTCAGTCACATGTTTAAATCTGCATGCAGCCGAAAATCAAGTGAAAATAAATATCTATTTTGACAATGTGTCTTCAGCCAAAGGCCTGGCACATTTGTCTCTGGTTCAATGAAGATTTACCCAAAAATAATGACATTATATTACTATTATTATTCATGTCATTATTATTCATATTTTCATTCATATGATTATTATTATTCATAGTATTACTATGAGCTATAATATTCATGTAATGGGCCTAATATTATAATTAGCATAATATGTGTTTGTTATATAGGTTATTTATCTATTTGAATCTTTATTGCCAGGCCAATAAGCTTTAGCTCACGATGAGAAGAGGGACCGTTTTCACCAAAAATAATTTTCCAGTGCTATTTTTCGTTCGATGAGAATCAGCAGGTTTCGTTGCTTCAAAAAAAATGTTGACCTTGATTGTTATGTTTTCTTTCTCTGTCTGGTCGCCCAATGTCTTCCTTTTTCCTATTTGTCAAGTTGTATTTTAAGTTGTGTTTAAATCTTTTTCGGTCATTACCTGCAGGTGTGTTTTTATTATAATTATTATGAATATACATGTAATTATCTTTAAGGCTTCTTGTTCACATTGTTGCAGCGATCACACTGAAGGCCGCAGAGAAGGGATGAAAACAGAGGAAAGCCCACAGTCCTGTCAGCAGCAGCAGCCTCCGTCCTCCACGCCTTTCGGTGAGTGTGTGTGCGAGGCCGCAGAGGAACATCTATGTATTCATACAAAGACCTGCTTTCATTTATCAAAGTAAGCAGGACATACTGGAAATACAATAGTATCATTATCACGTTCAAAGCTCAAAGCAGGTGAAGTGACGTAGATCCACGAAACCGCAGCGTCAAGGGCCCATGATGTAAATACAGGATTCTCAATAGTTACGCGTTAGCTTTTTACATATTTGGCTTTTATAGGCGATTATTATTATTATTTATGTATTTATTATTATTATTATTATTATTATTATTATTATTATTATTATTATATTTAGGCCTATTTGTTTTACATAAGTAATAAAAGAAAATACACTGACAAAATATTATCATATTTTTGGGGTTTTGTGTGATTTGGTGAGGGCCATGTGCTGCAGGTGCAACACACAAATGAGTGAAATAATTAAAACCACTGACTCCCGTAACTGACCGTCATTGCACTTTGAATAGCAGCCTCATGGTTCCGCACATGGGCCTCTGTCTGTGGTGTGTTTGCGGCTGCAGGTCCAGACTTCAGGGCGGCAGAGCTGTGCGCGGGTTGTGACTCCCCCATCGCGGACCGCTTCTTGCTGCGCGTGAACGAGCGCTCCTGGCACGAGACGTGCGTGAAATGCGCAGTGTGCCTGAGCGCTCTGAGCGGCACCTGTTACTGCAGAGACCGGCTCCTCTACTGCAAACACGACTATGAGAAGTAAGGCATGGCTCTGATCCCTAATACATGCATTATATCTGTTCTGTTTTATAATGATAACAAATACAGGAGCAAATACTGGTGCTGCCGTGCCGGGCAAAATTCAAAAATACAACATGACATGTTTTGAAAGGGAAAATGTTCTAATGTTGAGTGAAAGCTGCTGTTGAAAGTAGTATATCGGGTTTTTAAAATATTTCATGAGGTCTGACTCTGTGGGGATAGATAAAATAAAGCATTTTCAAGGATAATCTTCAACAAACCTATATTTATATATATGAGTTGATTTTGTCAGTTTTAATACCTATAACCACTTCATACTGACATTGAGCTGTTAAATGCAACACTGAAATTTCCCCATGGGACCAATAGTGGCTCACTTATTTTATCTTGACAAAGTGAATCAGTGTTAGGTGCAAGTGTATCATAGAACTCTACTTTGTTTAAAAAGCTTTTTATTGTATGGATAAAGTCCAGTATATGACCTGTAGGTGTCTGTGTTGGTGGATGGCAGCAGTGTGAAGCTTGTTATCATTGTTTTTAAAACGTGTCAGACGGCTTCCAGCAGCTCCAGCTCTCCCACTGCACTGACATCTGGAGGAGGCAGCGCTGAGGCATGGACGGACAGGGCTATTGTGACGTTTACACTAAAATATGAGAAAACAAACAGCTCCAACTAATCGCATATATAATGCTTATCTAAAAAGTTAAAATAGGTCATTACAGAAGATTTCTATGCGCCGACATGTGTATATGTATTTGTATGTATAGAAGACTGGTTTGTTGTTGGAGTGAGGGCATTATTGGCAGAGAGCAGCACTGGTGACCTTCAGCGCAGCAGCAACAATGTCTCCTTGTTCTTCACAGCCTCTCATATAAGCAGGTGTGCATACTGAAACATGTGACCATATGTGAAGGAATTTGGAGAACCGATGATATAATGTCTGGTCAGGTGTTCTGATGTATAGATAAGTTACAGTAACAGCTAAAATATTCACAATTCAATTGTGCTAATTGCAAGTAAATGTTTGGAGTAAAGTATTTCAGAATATCACATTTAGAAATCTTTTTATCGATTACTCTTTCCTTAGTGGGTCTTTGGTGTGGGGAAAAGTCACTTAACTATTTTTTACTTTTCTAAGGTCAAAATGGTTATTTTCAAGCATATCAGTCAAAGTAGTCTCTAGCGTTGTCTTGATATGAACATTTCAAATTGTTAAAAAATGTGAGCCGGACAAAGAGAGCTGAACTAAAAGATCTTCAGTTATATGGGCAAAGAACAGCTTTTTACAGGACCTTTCAAATCAATTCTCTTTGAAATAAAAATGTTCTTCTGGTAATGTCAAAAAATACTTACAAATTGCTCAAAAATTTCCAATTCTGTCCTGGTTCGATACTTGCTCAATTGAGAATCTCGTTCCTGAACTAATGATATCATCAATCAATATCTGATTTTTGATGTTTTTGACAGGCCTAGTCAAAACAAACAGCAATCTCTCCAAAGTCATAAAGTTAGATCAGATAAGAGACATTTCAGTGTGTTGCAACGCACACATATGTAACATTCACAGTGGTGAATTGTAAGCAGTAGCACAAAAAACTAAATTAATAGTAAGCACTACAAAGGTTGAGAAAAAAATATGTCAAACGGCAAGCTACTAAAAACATACAATAGGTCAAATCCTCCAGCTCTGGTAGTCCTGACCAAGCCGAGCATTGAGATTCAATTCAAGTTATTTTTTTATAGCCCTAAATCACGTTGTCTCTGAGGACTTTCGATTCCTCAACAACAAATCAGAGAATCACAGTTGGAACACAGGAAATACAATGGTAACAATTACATAGGAGCCATTGGTCCATAGAGAGTGGGATGACCAATGCCCATAAATGTTAATAAATGTCCTTAGACATCGGCAAGGAACAACAACTAAAAAACCCAGTGGGGAAAAAGTGAGAAACCTCTTGGAGGCCCCTATTGAGAGAGGGATCTGCTCCCTCGGATGGACAGGCTATAGATCCAGGACTGAAGAGGCTTCCAGGTGGGGAGGGGGGCACAGAGTCCGGGCCAGGGCGACCAATTCACAAATGCAGATAAAAGACGTCAGAATACAGGAGTCCCATCATCACGCCATAAAACAGTAAATGGGACAGTGGGTGAATAGCAATGAACGGACTACAGCTCAGAGGTAAAGTAGCGAGGATAGTGCTCAAGTTACCACATTCTCACATGCAGCAAAATGTCTCTATATACAGCTTGACTGACAATCTGTGATTTTTTATTAAGATTGTATTTTCTAAGTCTTACCTACCTAACATACTACTGTCACAGGCCCACACACATGCTCTCCTCCCAGGTGTGTCTCTGCTGTAGCAGCCTCTCAGCTCTCCTCCTATTGTTATAACAGGATCATGGGTCAAATACAGAGAAAGTATAACTTATATGCTTCACTCTATTCTTTAACTCCAACAAGACGTTCAGAGAATGTAATTATAGTACAGCCTCCATGTTCCCTGAATGTTGTTATTGTGATAATCAAAAGTGTATTGATTTATTTCTGTCAATATCATCCTCTTCCATCCTCTACAACCTTTAAGGTTTCATTAGGATTCTTAATGTTTTACAATGAATACAATCATCAGGTCGTTAACATTGGAAGCTGAGAGCATTCCTTCGTTAACCACTCAGCCAATCACACCAAGCGCTATAAAACTTTTAACAGTGAAAAGTGACACTTATCGTACTTATTGTACTATTTTTTTAATTTGTCAATAAAAACAGATTATATAGGAGTTTTTTCCATGTACGTGTAAATCACAATTGTTGCTCCTTCATACTCTATATTTATCCCTTCATATATTCCTAAAGAAAACATACATTTTGTCAGTGCTTTAAATGATCCTTAAAAGAGAACAAATATTTCCCCTGTTTTTGATTTCAATCTGACCCATCCCCCTTTTCATATATGGGAGCCTGGGGCAACAGTTTAGGGCAAATTAGCATAAATGAATAAATTGAACTTGCTAAAAAGTCAATGCGACAGGCCTTTGTTTTTGACTTTGAGGATGAAATAAACTAAGAGGAAAGGCATTTGAAATATCCACTGATTTGAAATGTTGAAAAAACAACTTAAGAAAATGGCAATATGGCTTTCTCCTGGTCTCAATCTGTTATGGAAATGAGGGATTAGACACAATAAACTCAAGTACGTTGTGGATTCATTTTTGTTTTAAACCACGAGACATTTTCTGGAGTGCGTTGAGTTGTCGACCAGATGTTCAAGACAAAAGCTTTATAACAATACGCAGAGAAAGACGCTCGCTATTGTCGCCTGGGAAAGCACGGATAGCACTTAATGAAAAATTGTGTACAAATTGAAGAGGAAGTTTTGAAAGCAAATAATATGGATATTAACAGATTTTTTTTAATTCATTTCACAAACTAATTAAAAAGTTAAATTTGAAAGAACATAGTATGACAATAAAACAAATTGCCAGATACAACGATATCCTGCCAGTTACTGCTACAAACTCCCAAAACAAGAAGTTTATAAATTTACACTACCTTGTCAGTAAATAGAAAGTTTTAGCTGTAGGTTATTGATATTTACAGGCCGGTATAATGTAACTTGTATCAAATCTCATTTTTTTGGGACTGTCCCAAGCCTGTTGCAGTATAAGCAATAAATGTATGCAAAATCAGTGCAAGATCAGATGGAACCAAATGGATTAAAATATGACACATTTACTGTTGTATCAAGCACATTTTTCTATTTATTTTATTGGATTTTAACTTGATCTGTTGTGTGTTAACTTAAGTGACCATTGGCACATTATGAAACTGGAAATTATTTTACCTCAACATTGAAAAAAAAGTAGTCACGTTCTTACAATAACTGGAAACTCGACGGACTGAGAGCTGAGAGGCAGAGTGAAGGTGATCCTGTCTTTTTCACTTTTCTGCCTGAAAAATCTTATGTAACCAAAAATATATGCATGTGAAAACTACTTATCACATGACTCCATTATTATGTGGTTTTAGAATTATTATTATGGGCTCTGCGTGCTATACTTTACCCTATAAACACCATGGACCATACCAGATCTGTGGCTTGTGAAACTCAAATATCTGTAGCCTATAGCCTATCGCCATAACAGCAGCAGGAGAAAAAAATATAATGTCAAGCCTTGAACTCGGCAGTCTTAAGCCACTTCCCCCGGTCAACCCTGTGAGAGTAGCCCCTTCCTTATGTTAAGTCTGCGGCTTCAGCCCAAAGAAGGACCAGGTCACGGGGGATCGGCTCTAAACCTCGGCTTTATCTGGGCCGGACGACGCACTGCAATATGCCCTTAACCCCTCTCCCCTGAAGATAGATCGTGAGCACATGCAGACAGTCCCCCGCTGTTAACTATTAGTTATAAAAACGCTGTTAGCCTGAAGAAAAACATTCTCTCGTTTCATATTATTTTTGGATTTCTTGCCAAATGTAGAACCATGTAATGCTCATCACCCTTCATATATCCAGTCTTCAGGTCATGTATTTTTAGCTTGCGATTTATTCATTTTAATATGGACTTTGTGATATTTCGTAAGGGCTTTGGCGTCACAATGCAGTGCAATCTATTCCCATACGTACAAAATGTGTGGATTGTGCTGTGGATTAGTGAAATACTTGTCTTTTTGTTGAAATAATAACTACAACTTACATTTCAATCAATCAATCAATCAATCAAAGTTTATTTGTAGAGCGCCTTTCATACACAGGGCAACACAAAGCGCTTCACAGTCCACATCACAAATCATCACATAAAACAAACACCAGAATCACAATTAAAACATTAAAATCACACAAAAGATTAAAACACAATTAAAACATTAAAATCCCACAAAAGAATAAAACCATTAAAACTTTCAAAATGACACAAGAAATTAAAAAAAATAAATAAATGACAGCAGTGCATTAGAAATGGAGATAAAATCCTTCAGTTGTATGCACAGGCAA